GAGTGCGGGTGTTGCTGCGCCCGTATGCCAACCCCCTTTCTCAGCAGTTTTTATTACGAGCGCGTGCGAGGTTCCAGTAGTGCCCCGCGGGTTCACCGCACGCTCGCCGTGTACAGTGTAGAGCCGTACCCCGTCCGCGTCCAAGAATGTGTCTTGTGTTGCCTTTTGTGTCCTCTGGCTTTCCTGGTTGCACGAGAAGGCCATCTCCCTCGCGTCCATCCCTAAACGCAACCTAACCAAGGCCGGCAAGTTGTATGTATATGTTTACGGGGGAGTCGGAAGGGACGGGTGACCAACCGGCATGTGTAAAGTTCAAAGATTTTTTACGGGGTACAAGGACGGGACTGAAGACTATTCGTACCAGGTACATAATTCATCGCCTCAGGAGTTTTTCCCTTGCCCCTCCATCCTGCCCCCAAACTCTCGTGTTCGTTGCGCAGCCTTTACGCCCAGCGCCAGAAGGAGCAGAAGGAGGCCCGCCGCTCCATGATCTCCAAGAGGCGCAGCTCTCGCAAGGCTTCCGCCAAGGTGGTGGCTTAAACAACGTGGTTGCAGTCGATGGCATGCATTGCCATGCCACGCGGCATGAATCCGTGATTTTGTTGCGGATTTAATGCAACCGGGGGAAGACCGTATCTCAGCTTTGACCCGTGGGTAGAGCTCGTTTTGAGCTGCTGCCACAGGAGTAGGACCCCTGGCGGGTTTTGGCTTCGTTGGGTAAGGGTCTTTTAACTGCTTGCTCTGCTCGCCGCTCCCGCGGTGGCGTTGGCATTGTACGCGTAATGAACGGGGGACATGAACTTCAGCTCTCCTTTATTGGGACCTTCTTGTGTCATGCGGGCACCACCGACAGCGTGTGTCGCGCGTTTCCGCACCACGTCTGTCTATCTCGGTGAATCTAGGCACTCACCCGCAGATGACGTCATGTGCTTGAGCCGACGGCGAGAGTATATTTTGACCTTGGCGCGGGACCTCGCGATGGTCGACAGAGTTGTCATGCATCGAACATGTTGGGTGGTTTCCCCTTCCAATGCATTTACTGGCTCTTTTGACACAAAGATCTCGCACGCACGCGCCAGTGTGACCCACCCCAAAAGATGATCGCCAAGTGCTCGTTTGCTGGACAATAAAGCGAGTTCTGCCAAAGAAATAGTGGATGCTTGCGCACGATCCATCCTGTATGCGCAAGTCGCTCCATTTGGTGTGTACGTGGTTTTCTCGCTCATCTCCGACTACAGCTTCAGAATCTGCTGTTGTCCGTGAGATCACTGACATTCCCAAGCTCTAGCTTGGGTCTCAGTCGATCAAAAGTCTTTTTTTTCCGTCTGTGGAGTTTTCAGTAGCATAGCGGACCCCTTGCCCGACCGGGTCGAAAAGGCCGATCTCAGCCCACACTGCGAACCTCCGAGAACTACCAGCAGTTCTGGGTAGCTGAGACGATTTCAAGACCTCTCACAGTCGTTTGAGCATCTATCGCTTGCTGTGGGGCGATAACCAGTTTCTCCGTCGACAAGAAGATCTGCGTTACATCGTCACATCGGAACGACCAGATTGGTTGACTTGTCGTTGAGGGTCCTCTTTTTATAGATCTTTTTGTATAAGAGTCGTCTTCATTTTTTTCGCCGCCCGCGCCAACCCTTCTTTTTACAGATCTTTTTATATAGAGTCGTCTTCTTTTTTTCGCCGCCCGCCCCAAGCCTTGCTTGCTTCTCTCGTGTCCCGCGCCAAGCCTTGCTTGCTGGCTACGCTTCTCTCGAGATGCTGACCGACCTCAGCACACAGCTGGACATTCTGTGTACATACAGCAGGAGCTGCTTTTGTTCTGTTGTTGCAACTTTCTGCATGGATGGCTCTTTTGTGGTGCGAAAATTAGCATTTATTGTTGTTGTTGATGTGCGGACGAGAGGACGAGAGTGGTAGGCAAAAGCAGTACGTACCTGCAAATCTCCGGCAACTACCAGCAGTTCTGGGTAGCTGAGACGATTTCAAGACCTCTCACAGTCGTTTGAGCAGCTATCGCTCGCTGTGGGGCGATAACCAGTGATTTTGTGATTTTCTTCCTTAGTCTATAGTGACCGTTGTACACATGCGGTGGCTGCTGTTATGCTCGGAAGATGCTGCAAAGGTCATAAGGTTATCGTCTCTGTCGCTTGGGCTGCACGCCGTGCTCGCGTAGGAGATGCGCATTCCTCATTTTTTCTCTGTGCCGATATCCATGAAGAAAAGCAACGGCAGCACGGTTGAAGATACAGACAACAGACGGTCCGCCATACCCTTTTTTTTTTCTTCTCTTACATGCATGGATGGGTGGTAAAGCATCGCAAGCGTGTTGCTGCCTTACTTACCTTTAGTGTGCTGCGTAGTCGTAATTTGAGCGATAAGGGGTAGATGGCAGGACAACAATCTTATTTGCGTAGTGAGGTTTGACAACTGGTCGTTCGTGGAACGGTGCGCGTCTATCGCGACGGCAAGCGTATTGAGAAAATAGTTCGTCCGTGGTGCTTCTCGTCATCATTTTCTATTTCGTTGTCACTTCATACTTCATACCACAAGTGATGAAAGAGAGTCTCCACAGTTAGTTCGGAAACGGCGACTATATTTGGTTTGTTGCGTTTGTTGTTGCTGAGCACACATCGGATGTCGTCGTTCGTTACAGCCTGCGGTGGGCCACAGGGACGAGAGTGAGTGTCTTCGGTTAGGGTCTCGAGAGTTAATTAATGCCTTCTCTACGCTTTCTTCTGTTGATCTACGTAGTAGTAGCACCTGTCTCTCCTTCTCGCCTATTATCGCCGTTGGGGTCCCAACAACATCGAACGTCAACCGCAATCGTTTTTCTTCTTGCTGAGTAAGAGGCTATTTGTGTAGTACGTACCCGGCTGCTGTATGTGAGGCGATGGGCGCTGCCTCTTTACTTGAAGCAACGGGGGCATGGCCCCTATAATGTTTGCTGCATGCTGTGCTATGTGACAGCTAGCTTCCAGCGGTTCAGAGCGGCGACGGTGGTTTTCGTATGCTCTCTTTTGCCACCTCCCTGAAGCCTGTCGCGTCTGGCTCACTTGTCTTTGTCGTCCCTTCTTCTTTTTCTTTTTTTTCTTAACATAGTCTATATTTTATTTTTCCGCTTGCTTTTTGGGGTCCGCCGGTCATCCGCCCACCACCCATTAGTTCAGTTTTAAATGTTGTTGTTGTTGTTGTTGTTGTTGTCTTCGCATTAAAAACCGTTCAGATCTCTCTCTACCCAGTACCTTCATATGTGCGTACTGATCCAACACTTGACGCGGTCGATTCCCGTGGTCACAGGCTAACTTACCCTAAAGAGGTACGCTAAAACAAACTGGCCCCGAAAGGTCCGCAAGTCAATAAAAATCAACGACAGATATTCTTTGGAACGGGGTGTTTACTTGCCATCTCTATGCAAGTTTCACAATTAATTTTGAAGCTTTTCTGAAGCTAGTTGAAACAGTAGTGTCATCGTTCGATATCCGTTCGGTGAGGAATCAATCGCAAATCATGACCCGTCCCCGAGTTGTAGCAGCTTCCGCCTCCTGGGGCCGGCAAGAGTCGGCCTTCACTGCTGTACCTTGTCTGTTTCGCCATGGGAATGGCCGGTTCAAAGCGAAAGAGGGTCCTGCGTGCTGCGCGCCACCACCTTTTTTTTTTTGCGTTTGTTTGTTGTTGTGATTTTCTTCCTGAGTGACCGTTGTTGTACACAACATGCGGCTGCTGCTGTACACATACTTGCGGTTGCTGCAGTATATGCTCGGAATGTGCTGAAAAGAAAGGTCGTAAGGTTATCGTCTCTGTTGTTTTGGGCTGCACGCGATGCTCGCGTAGGCGATGCGCGTCTCCTACTTTTTTCCAGTGTCGTTGTCGGCAGCACAGTCAGTTGAAGAGACAAACAACAACAGACGGTCCGCCTTGTTTTGTTTTGCTGCATGCATGGTTGGTATGCATCGGCACGCGTGTTGCTTCCTTGCCTTGAGTCTGCTGCGTAGTCGTAATTTGAGCGATAGGTAAGCTAGATGGCAGCACAATCTTAGATACTACGTAGTGAGGTATGATAACCAACAGCTCGTTCGTGCAGCGGTGCGCATCTATGGCGGACGGCAAGCGTATTGCGATAATAGTTCGTCCGTGGTGCTATGTAGTCGTGCTCTTTTTAGTTCTCACTTCCTACAACAAGATAGTAGTCCACAGCTCGCACACGGCGACTGACTATATTTGTTTGTTGTTGTGCTTGTTTGCTGTTGCTGAGCCGACATCGGATATCGCCGTTCGATACACAACGTGACATCATGTCTGACAGCCTGCGGCGGGCCAGAGGGACGAGAGTGAGTGTCTTCTCGACAGAGTCAATGCCTTCTCTTCTCGAGAGAGTCAATGCCTTCTCTTCTCGAGAGAGTCAATGCCTTGTCTTCTCTCCGCTCTCGTATTTTTGTCTACCTCTCTTTCTCTCTCTCTCGCCTTTCGCCGGTAGGGTCCCAACAACATCGAACGTCAACCAACCGCAGTCGTTTCGCTTTTTGCTGAGTAAGAGGCTACCCGTGCATCCGGCTGCTGCATGTGAAGCGATGGGCGTTATGCCAAGCAATGGACTTGGGCCCTACCTAATATTTGCTCCATATGTAGTGCTATGTGAGAGTTTCCAGCGGTCCGGAGCGAGCGGCGACGGTGCTTTTCTTCTATGCGCTCTTATTTTGCCTCCTCCCTGAAGCCTGTCGCGTCTGACTCGTTTGTTCTCGCTTCTTTCTTTCTTTTGTTTTTCATGCTTTTGTTTTTTGGGGTCCCCCGGTTCCTGTGTGCTCATCGGGCATCTTCTTGGTGTCTACCTTGATTGTTACCCGCTGCAAAAATCGAAAGCTTCAGACAGGCAACGCGACGATACTCGTCGAGATGCCATACACAATGAATTCATTGCTAATCTGTCTCAGACTCTTTTCTATGATGGAGATGGATTCGTTGTGTCATATTAAGAAGAATAAACATAAAAAAACATCCTGTCGTTACTCTATCGATACCTCACACCCACCCCTACTCACGCCGACGCAGACACAGACAGGCAGACTCAGCTCTTTCGCCTGTGCTGTATCTGTTGTTCGTGCGTGCTGAAAAATGGTACATACAGCAGCAGCTTACCGCAGCAGGAGCTGCTTTTTGCTTGTTTGTACAGCTTTTCCTGCAGGGATGGCTCTTGTTGTGCGGCAAGTTGCATTGTTTGTTGTTGATGCGGACGAGAGGACGAGAGTGAGTGGTAGGCAAAAGCAGTACGTACCGTGTTAAAGGGACAGACAGAGTGCCTACCGTGTGTATGTAGACGTTGCATTTCGTGATTCCCGAGGATCGGATGTATGTGTTGTTTTTTTATTGCGTACCCGCGTCCATCACGACCATTATTGCGTAGTGTGTCGGCTAATTAAGGTCCTTCCCGTTCGTGGTGTCAGCACACGCGCAACACGCGACTAAAATAAAAATATAAAGCTTGGGACTAGCAACGCCGACGATATTCGTCGGCTTGCTTTCAACAATTTCTGTACAACGCTTTGTCCTCTGCCGGCAAAAATGTGTACACAGAATTGTACTGTTTTGCAGCTCTAGATAGACTAAATATGCATTCACGAAACACAACAGCAGACCTCAGCACGGCCAAACTACATAAACTCTGGTCTCATTAAGCGTGCAGAGTGGTGGTACGTGCTCTTCAGAAGACGTGACAAGGCTTAAAATCGAGCGGGAAACACGTTGGCGTTGGATGTACGGAGTGTCATGCTGCGGTCTCAACTACACCATACACTGCTGTATGTACCTTCTCACAAGTCTACAGAGGGTCTTTCTCACTCATCATGGACACAAACTATTCAACTCGTGCTAGCTGCTGATTGGCAAAGATAGAGCCCAACCAAATGTGTACGTGCCAAATATGCCAAGTTTAGCCGACCACTTGGTGGTGGCCTGCGAGGCTACTCAGCATGATTGGATAAAAGCAAGTGAAGTGTAACTGTCATTTTTTTCCATCGTTCGAGTACGACATGTCACGACGTCTGCGGTTTGAAAATACGAAAATCCCATCAACGTGTTTTCCCCCGCAGTTGGGTTACCGAAGCTTTGTTGCACAGCTCGTAAGGCCACACGCATATTGCATGACAGGGCCTCACAATGCTGGCCGTCACTCGAAGACTTGTCGTGCCGGTGGTGCTCACCTTGAGCTTGTTTTCGACCGTGGTGCTGGGTCTCGCGTCATGTTGTGTGAATTCTACGAGCGGGGCGGACTTCGCTGACGACTGCGTGTGCTTGGTAGACAACACGCAGTTCTCAGGCCAGGTCTTGCGCGCGGGTGAAACAAGGCTGTACCACTGGGTGCTGGATATGGACAACTCCGGGCTGGTGTCGGGTTCGGTCAGAGGGAACCTCACCTTCGAGGTGATGGTTGCGCCCCCATACAGTACTGTAGTCGAACAATGAACATGTGTGGTCTACTGCTGTAACAGCTTTGTTTCCATCTTATTTGTGGTCTCGCAATCGACAGCCCTGACTTAAGACCGCACCACAACGTGATCTACAATGCACAACAAGGGACCAACAGAACACGCACGCGATGGTGACACACATGTAGTACTTCATTATGCACGTCGTTGCGTTTGTTTTTCGCTTTTTTCGGGAATACTCTTGAGGCGGGATCGAATGATTGTGCTCTCCAGTTGAAGTGTACGTTGGGGATTGCATGGTCACCGAAACTATCGCCAAACCTGCGCGGTTCCAGCTGATACCCGCTTTGTTTTGTCAAAAATGCTGAGGAGTGCAAACAAAGTATGCATACATAGGAAGTGATCACTTACTACTGTGTACAGACAGCATGTGTCCGGGAGTGTTGCTGAACGGGCGATACCAGAACGAACGGCGAGCTTGATGCAGGATGCACACGCAACCCTCTAATGCAGACTAGGACCGAAGCGGAATATAGACAGATGGGATAAGAACCTACCTTGCGTAACACGACTATGTAGCTTCGAGTTCCTATTTCTATTTCCTGGCCCTCTGTCACAACGCCGTTCTATCCCGCTATGACCGCTCTGCCGAACACAATCAATTCATGTAGATGACGCCTTGCAACGGGAGCGCAAGCATCGATATCAAGTCTGGGAGTCCTTCTTCTTGGCAAAACTTGCCGTATTTTAACTCCTCGGACGATTACAACCCCGCCATCGTCACCATTCCGGCGAAGTTCACGGAACAAATGTGCTTTGTGACGGCCGGCGGCGTGGACACCGCCTTCGACATCGCTGTCCACACAACTCTCTACGATCGTCCAACCCCCGGGAATGGAGGGCAACTGTCCGCGGAAATGCATTCATCTGGAATCGCGCGGGTTCTCATTAACACGACCGAAAACGAAGTAAGAATGGAGTGTGTGTCAGGTACCAGCTGGTGCGACACATCTTGAGCGCCCGGTAGAACAAAGCGCTAGGAGATGCAGGAGGCTGTGTTGGGGTGATTTCTGCGTGATGCGTAGCGAGCCGCAGTCGACGCCTTCGGGTACGCCCGTGAATATCGTTAAACTCCATTCTGCAGACACAAGTATCCTAGACATAGTAGTGCTTTTGCACCAGGGCCAGTCGTATGAATCGGTCGTGATATTTCTTTCTGTCGCCCCGGAGTTGCCTGAAGACATGAGGCCTTCCTTGCCCGTTTAATTTTTGATTGCACAAAGAGCACACCGTCCGAAGAGCGCTACAAGAAAACGATAACTCCGGAACATGACGTGTTTTACAAAGGAACCCAACCATCCACCTCGCTGTGCCCATCGTTCTTATTTCGTCTCTTTTGAATCCTGGAAAGGGGGCGGACGATGTCATGTACAGCCTCTACTGGAGCCGCCTGCCCGAAACAGACGAGGGAGCTTGCACCCTGGCTTCCGACAACACCTCTCTTCGCGAGAACCCCAACTGCTTGTTTTGGTCGGCGTGCGGGATAGGGAACGCTGCCGACGGCCACACAGACTGGGTGGCCCTCGAGGCGAACACTGGCCATGTGTTCGAGGTGCGTTGTAACAAGACGCTGTGGCTCGTGCTCGCATCATCCCAAGTCACAACGTGTGCTGCTTTCCCTCTTGCCAGGCCATACGTTCCGACAAGCATCCGTGATCTTGTTTCGCAACGAAGCCGAGGAACAACAACTGCAGAGAAAAGCAAGTTTTTCAAATTTCTGACAAAACTGCAAGAACTGAAATTGACGGCCAATAAACAGCATGACGTGTATCTCTAATTCTTTCGAGGAAAAACAAACGCCGGGGGGTTCGTTAACCGCAACCGACTTGGTTGCACGCATTCCTCGAATTGCGTCGTGCCGTTTCGTTCTGGGGTGACAGGTGCATCACGCGACAATGGCTACACAGTTCGCACGTCACCAAAGTGTGGCTGCCGACTGCTGCCGTGCCTCGTTGCGTTTCGTACCACCACCAGCCGTCGCAACAACGAACGGTACTTCAGGATATACGAAGACCCTACCGAGCGGGAACCACGTAACTTGCACTCCCAAATATCAAGTAGTTTCAGCTGGCCCACAGACTCTTATTTCGAATCGTGCGTCCATGGGTCCATGTGTTTTTTCTCTCGACAGGTCGCCGTTGACGACGACTCGTCGTACCTGTTCAACGTCGCTATGGTCGACTCCCGAAATATCACCTCCGTCTACTCCGGCACCAATGTGTCTTTCACTTCCACGGACTACCAAGATTGTGTTGCCGACCCGGACTGCACATCGCAGGTACATAGGATGCACAACAAGTACGGCAACACAATATTCTAGGTTGCACTCCGAGGACGTCTAGCTTTGAAGTGCTTGTTTGCTCGTTTGAGCAGAGGGCGTGCAGTTTGGCGGACACCACATGTACGTTCAAACTCCATATTCTCGGGGCTTATTATAGCTTGTCACAAGCTCTACGTAACGCCAACAACTCTGCTGAGATCCAGGTGCAACGAAGGGCCCGACACGCGTAGCCATTTCTTGCGTCGTTACGAGACGTCAAGGAGTCCCTTGCGTTGTTTAGTGTGTCATGCACTGTCGGAACCGCGCGTTCTTGTTGAGTCGATGTTCCGTAGACACACACGTGCATGACGTAACGGTTTCAGAGAGCTTGGCTCGTTCGGCCAGGACGTCAACTCGGAGAGTACGGTCTGCGAGGAAGATTTGTTTGTCAGATTTTGTAAGCGGGACAATGATCGTTGCGCTTGGTGACAGGATTATACATGTACAAGGATGCCGGTAAGCAATTTCCTTCAATTACTAGTTCGCCGTGTTTGGAGTGTATCGGTCTTGGCAACGGTCCTCCAACAACACGCGAACACATCATGTCACGGGAAAACTGTTGCATTTGTCTTCATGTTCTGTCGGCAGTGTCATACGGGCCTGGGAGGAATCTCCTTGCGGTCTAGTTCACCGACACGTGGGCACCGCGCCTGAACCCCCCCAACACACACAAACATTACGCTTGTCAGTTGGGCGCTTCCAGCAGCTCCCCCTAAAATAAATGAAAAATGAAACCCCCTCTCTGACCTGCCCTTCTCTCGTTTCCCTGGTTGGGCGCGACCGTCATAAATTGATTGCAACGGGGAACGTGATCAAAATCGAAGCTGAACGAGGACTCGACAATCATCGCGATCGCCGCCGCCGCCGTTACGGCGCTAGCCCTGCTCATCGCGGGTATGACGCTCCTGCACAAGTCAATCGCGAACATCATGCGAGAGACCGTGACCAGTCGCAGTAAACTCTACGCCAGCGGGACTCGCGCCCTTGTCAGCAACAAGCGCTCCAAGGGTAAGGAACATTCAGACTTTTTTGGCGCAGTCCCTCGTATGTATGTGTGTGTCTCTCGCCCCCGATGAAAACGCAAAACTTGTTGACCACACACAAAAAATGGTTTAGCGTTGTTATGAGTAGTTTTGAGGTTATCATGATATACCCACTCTAGTGCGGTGTCCCGGCCACAAGCCTGATTCTTGAGTGATGACGTCATTGGCTCCTGTAAGGAAATAATAGCCCCCAAGCTTTATTTTCTGGAAGCAGAAAGCTCTGGGCAAATCTCACCAAAACCACGTTATCAAATTCGTTAGGGTTGATCTTCGCCGCGCGGCCCTATCACACCGAAAGATCATGCTGGAGACCGGTCCCGGATGTATCACACTTATCGGATAACCATCATCATCATGACGCTACTTGTGACAGAGTTCCACCCGACCCCTCCAGGCCCCCCTTCCGAAAATGCACACGCCCTCAAAGGTACCGTCACTGACAAGCTACACGCATCTGCTGATTCTACCGCGTTTCCACGTTCCCGCGAAAGCAGACGGAACAGTGCACATCGACGACTCAACGCCCATGGCATCTCCTGCCCAGCCCTACAAAGGGGGGTCCTCGTCACCCTTCAAGGAAGCGCGACAAGAACAGGAGGAAGGCAGCGCAGACTCGCGGTTGCTGGCAGGGCAGCCCGAAAAAACTCCGAATCGACGGTCTCCGAAGCGGAGCTCCGTAGGGTCAAGCCGTCCGCCGAAATCACCCGGCAGGCCCGACGACGACACGAGCGACCACGAAGAGGGTGACAGCAGTGACGCCGGTGGCCCTGGCGGTAGGAAGCGCTCGGTAGCGTCCAGCCCGCGCGCACGAAAGAAGCGCGGCGGAGGCAGTCAGAGAGCTGAAAAGGACAGCGACGAAGATCAAGACCATTCCCGCTCGGCGCCTCGGTCCGACCTCGACAACAACGGGCGCGTTGACGGCGAGGGGAAGCGGTGGCGGACGCCGGTGCCGGGCCGCTCCAGCTTCTCCGGCGGCACGAGGACGCACAAGTCGCCGCCCGCATCCCCGAGTTCCCGCAGGGAGTCCGCCCGTGGCCGGGGGGCATCCCCCAAAGCGTCCCGCAAGGGCTACGACGACGACGGCAGCGACGACGGTGGCGACAACGAGGGCGGGCGGGGCGCAGGGGCACGGGGCCGCGCGGCCGGGGGTAAGGGCGGTTGGGAGCAGCAGGTGGCCCGGTCAAGCGCCATGCAGAGCAAGCCGCGACGGAGAAACCGGAAGGGTTACGAAAGACGTGATACGGACGAGGAAGACGAAGGATGACGCGGCGGCAATGAATGGCAGACCGTGGATCATGAAGAAGATGCCTCTGTCTGTGAACTGTAGGGACACTGACGGAATCGAGCACGGCATGACAAGAGCGGCGGCGTTGCCAGAGCAGTGAAAGAGACAAGGTGTTGGGAACGTGGGAACGTGGCGACCATGAAGCGGCAAAATCCTGGTTCTGGTCGGGAAGGAATGTGGCGAGTGTTGAGGCTCGCAGATCTTGGATTTTTTCTCATTGCTTGAGAAGTTGCTCATGCCCGCCGGACGGTCGTGCTCGACAACCTCCTCCCCTTCAAGGGCGTTTAGCGGTGACAACCATATCGCTGCGGAGCTGCTATTAGAGAAAAATGGCCTCGATGTCAAAAATCGTCGCTCACCATTGAGCTTGCGGCGGGGTCGGGGGTATCCGTGGCGGTGGGTCGGGAATATTCAGCCTACCTACGAGTGCGACGTCATCTTCGCCTTTCGGTCAAACGATCGTTTGTGACGACAGCAGCTAGCTGTGCTCTCGTCAAGGTTGGGCGGAGAAGAACATAGACAGGTACTCCGGGCGTATGTCGTGCACATGCGATCTGTCCTCGGCTGCTCGTTTGCACTTGTTCACACGACCTGCGACGATATTTGCCTCGCGCGTTTTTAAAATAGTAGACTATGTGGTGGTGAAAATTGACTGAGTTATGGACTAAATTGCACGGGTGCGATATAGCAGGCTTGGCGCCAAGACGTAGCCACGTCGTCGCGTCAAAGCGTTATAATAGGGAGGGCATCGACAATGTAGTACTCTATTACGGACCGTAGGCAAAGCTTTGCTGATTCACATCGAGCTCAGCAAATTGGGCGGGTAATGCGTGAGAAGCACCGGGCGGTGTTGTGCGCACGACCTGGGCCCCCAGCTTTGAACCAAAGTGCACCCAGTTTACTATACAACGGGGAACTGCGAAAATAGAAGAACAGTATACGTGATTCGTTGTCATACTACTTCAAGAACACATTCAGGGTGAATACTGTGCGCCGTATGTTTAGTTGCAGGGGGGCAGATTGTGTTTTCGGTTAGAGAGAAAAAGTGTACATTTTTTTCAGCTGTAGATTACGTGTTACCTTGTTGTTTGCTGCCGTTAAAGCATATATAGCATGACGCTATCGATTTGGTAGTAAGTTACCTGGTTTGCCATATTGACGTACTGGTCAGTAAAAAGGGAGGTGTTTCTACTGCAAGATTTGGCTTTCGAAGAAGAGATCGAAATCTACAGGAGGATGACATTACACAATGATTGTTGCTCAATCACAGGGTAGGATGGCTGAGTGTAGTACATAGTGCAATACCGACGCCGAAATACGCTCCTGCCGAAAGAACGTGATACCTTGACCGGCTCTATGGCGGCTCAACGAGTCATGCGTGGCTGGTGAATGGACCGTCGCAAGCATGTGGTACTTGGCTTTGGCTACCGGTAAAGTCGTGCCGGGTACTCTCGTTCGCAAAGGATATCGCCGGCCAGGCCGTGGCTGTCGGCTTGTCTGATAAGGCAACCAAGAGTGATTCGTGGCGTTATGGCGCTCGGTGAGAACTCCTTGCCACGAAATAAAGGATGATGTAGACATGCTGTCGCGCTGAAACGGCCGCGACACTTCGTGCTTCGACAAAACTACCGTCCCTACAAAATCCTCACCACCTGTCTCCACTACTACTGCTGTATGGTCTTTGGCGTAGCAACGTTAACTCGTTGCCGGCGTCCTCGTCCAAGTACCGCCGTCGATGCACTTTCAAGCTCGCTGATTTTCCGTGAAGAAGCAACCCCGCGTGCAGAAACCCAGGTTGCGGGGTGGTCCCAATATGAAGAGAAACGCCACGTAACCACTCCCGACGACTCGGAGCTATGCGTACTATTCGACAGCCATCCGTGCACAGGTTGCCTTTGTGTGAAGAGTGCACAATTCCTCGTTGCACCTATTTCTGAACTAGCTAGCGTCAACGACGGTGTGGATGGGTCTAAGTCACGTGCATGCTTTCGGCTCGAGATGCACCTTCATAAGTACATGGGCTGGCTGTGGCGTGGGAAAGCTAGTGAAACACTGCTTCCGACGATAGGAAGCGCTTGTCTCCGTAGTAACGAACAATGAATCATCATTTCGATTATAAGACAGAGGTTGGAAATCAATATTCCCATTAGACACATCTTTACCAGACTAAACAATAGCCTTACATCTACAAGTGTTCGAGCGGCAACCCGTGCCTTCAGCTCCCAAACTCGCGAAACCCCGGTGCCATTGACCACAGACACATTCCGCACACACCGCTGGGTATCTCGTACTTCGTAGCAAATTTGTGAGCAGTACACGTCACCCATGCCGCCATTTGAATTGGCCAATCAAATTATTCCAGCTTTGCGGAGATGTCCCGATTCCAGAACCTCCAACCGCGAACTTGCGGCTTCATCAGGTCCGAAAATGTTCCCAATTCGGCAGATTATGGCGTCATGATCTCCTGCAGACTGGGTGTGAGATCAAACAAAAACACCGGGTTGCGAGAGAGGGAGCATGGTTTCCGTTCTCTCCTCTTCCTGACCTGTGGAACTGTAGGAAGCACAGCAGCTGGTTGCGATCCGCGACTACGAACAACTCTGTTAGAGAAAGGCTCAGATGTTCCCAAAAATAGCTTTGGGAAAGAAAGACCCCCGTCGCTCAGCGGTAGACCCTACACTATCCTCGATGGTGGCGGCGAAAAAAGAAACTGCGCTAGACAACAAGCTACGTTTTCTTGTTGAAGACCGCAAGTTCGCCAACATAGAGCGAAGAGGACAATGGTTAAAGGTAGGCCAGAGTCGCACATTTCATCGCTGACTTCAGAGAACGAGGTCGGTTCTCGTTTATAGGAAGCCCGCCTGTACGCAAGAGGAAAGGGTGGCGAGCACGTGGATACTGCGGTACCAAGTCGTTCACTACTGAAGCCAAAGAGTGAGGGTGGGGGTGGGTGGGCGCAGGTATAACTCTAGGTTTGCGGAAAATATCGTAGCGTTTGCATCCGGTACAGTGCTTCCTGTAGTAGTTGGTGAACCCGATCGAAAGTGGGACGATCTGAAATCCACGTCATAGGCCCTAGCCTACAACGCGAAGTAATTATACGAATAGTTTGGAGATCGATAAGACCGCTGTGAGAGAAACGGTATGGATTCATGTGGTCGAGCTCGACAGTATCCAGCAAAATACCACGGTTTACCCGCCAGGCCTTCCTTTCTCCGGTACCCCTGCCCAGGGCGAGTCTCTTGACGTACCGCATACCTCGCCTCCATTGAACCCGGGGGTCGTGAGTGATCGTTCTGTGGATCTGACGTACACTTGCCCGCGTGTGAGGGTACGTTTTGAGACAGGAAAGCCATGAATATGGCTGCAGGTGGTGCGACTGCTGCTTCACTTTTTGTTCGCCAAGCTGTGAAAGCCATGGCGCGAAGGCTACTATTGCCCCACCTGTTTGCTGACCATGTGCAGCGTGACGTAGGAACCACAGCCAGGGATAATGGCAACGTTCATGCATGATGGCTCGTCCCACGGAAACGCCTGTTCCGCGCATCTTCCCGCCTTGTCCGTGTCCCTCCCGCCGCTCTGCCCTGGAATACTCATACCACCAGAGAAGCAAAGAAAACATGGTGTACGGAAGAGAGTTTTCGGAACGAGTCTGATTGGATAAACGTTCGGAACCTGGTAGCAGCATGGTGAAGGACTTTTTACTGCGGACGCCTACCTTGAAACCCGGCCCCTCTCTACCTGGCCACTGCGGGCCACTACACGTATGTCATTAAGCCGGTAGACTCTCAACATGTTCGCACGCCACCTCTCCTCAAGAGCTCACCAAAGTGAGAAAAATAACCGGGCCCTGAAGTGGGGACGTGTTCTTGGGCTTGGGTAAACAGCGGTTGACCCTTGGGGTTCTCAACTGATCAAATGCCTTCAAGGTCCTCACCTAGTATCGGCACGAGCGGGGCGTGATTTCGTTGCAAGAGCTGCATCACACCCCAGCCTTCTCGAACGAAGTTTTCGTAGCTCAAAGTGCTCTTGAGACAGTCGTCGGGAAAGAGAAAACAGTGGTTGCCGGCAAGAACGCGAGCAGCAGCGTTTCAGCGACGACAGGAAGGATGATCGAGCCACGACTAGAGTCTTACGGCGAGAACTTCCGCTGCTTGCGTATGTATACACCCATTCAATCATTGCACCGCGGCGGGAATAAGTCTCTGTTGGAGATAAGAGCCTTGGTTTCGACCTGACAGCAACAGCCGCATCATACCACTGGGGCATGTTGTCACGCGAAATATCGAAGAGCAATGAAGGGATCGACGTTCACCTCACGGAGGAGTAGATGCGGCTTCGGTGGGCCGGGACCCACGTCCAAACCGTCGAATCGAAGCATGCGAACATCTCTAGAGATGGGAAGAAAACAAACCGTAAAGCATGCCAAAATCAAGGCCAACCGCCAAACCTAGCGAATCCAAGATGGTGCACCAGGTGGTGCTACAAAAGGGCCATCTTCCGACGTCGAGAGCACCGCGTTCGTTCGCAAAAGAACACCGGCAGCAAGTAACCAGGTTGTGCGCCACACGAACTTGACATATATACCGTCCACACCTTGAACAAGGATACCATCCACAGTCGTTCCGGCTCGATACCCACCGGCGAAGCGTAGGTGACGATGTTCATGTTCGTCGACCCGTCCTCGTTCACAGTTGCAAGGCTGAAAACCGGCACGCTGAGCTGTTTTTGTATGTTTTGCAATCGGCGGCGGCCACAGGCGAAAAGGAGGGAGGTGCCATGTGCATGCGTTGAACAGCGTTGCCATGAAAACCGAGGGCAAAGCAAACCAGGCTGGAGCTGTTGGTGGCGCCTACAGTTCAGCAACCTATACGGAGGGAGCAAGTGTTTGCGTGGCGTGGCGTATTAGAAGGTGGCCTCGTCTACCTGCTGCAGCAGCAGGATGTGGAAGTGCTTTCACAAGAAGCAACTAGTCGAACTCCCCCATGTAACGGACCGCCAGCGCTCTCTGTAGAACGGCTGTAACATTCGAAGTTATCTCGTGCAGCAAGCAGGGCGGGTCGTGTGAAAGGCAGGTGAAGAGACTACATGTCGATCCACAACAACAAGATCCGCCGTCTCTCAGCATCAACATGATCCTTATGCGTATGTTTTCCCACCCACCCCCTCCTTCTTCCCCTCTCTTGCCCATCCAATGGGACACTATCTATCAAACGATGGGAACATATTCCCGCGGCCACCGAGTGCGCACCACGCTTGGCCTTGTCTTAGATAGAGATTGCTCAAGACAGGCAATGGCGACACGGCTCTTGTGCTTACCGCAGGAGGTGCGTGGTGCTTCGTCAAGCTCGGCAGCGCACGATCCCCTGCTTCTCCCTCAGTAGCTCGAAGGAAGGAGACGCTACCGCTCCTACCGGTGCTGCTCGTACTGCCTCGGTTTGGACTGCTGGCTCCTGTTGGATCATGACATCTGCTGCTGCTGCGGTGTCTCTCCGAAGTCGATCGCGATGACGATGATGACGATGGTGCCACAGACTGAGCGACGAATGCTTCTCCGAACGTTCCCAGTAAGACCAAAAGAACGAACGCGTTGACCGCAGCATGCCAATCTCGTCTTGCCGTGGTCATCATGACAGCAACCAGCGAGCACTCTCCATCACAGCCATGTCTGCAACAGCGATTTGTCTAGGGGTTTCGTGAATCATTGAGGGGGTTGGTATCCGATGTGGAGGCGTTTTTATACTGAAATGAAGATCCCCGCTCGGCCTGGTCAGAGAGGCAATTAGCTGGTTTTTCTTTGAACAGTCAGCGTGTGCCTGTGCGCTGTGCCCCCCTCGATTCAGCGATCCCTGCTGCTCCAGCAACACACAATACACACCAGTGCGCTACAGCTCGACACAGCCAGGACTATGAAGCAGACCTCTTTCTTGTGCCTGTCTGGCCTGGCAGGATCGCTGGCTTTCGTACCTTCCACGAACGTTGTCCCGAGCAGCGCATGGACGAGCCGGTCAGGCGGGTGAGACGAGACTTCAGCGTAGGCGGAAACATTTCACACTCGCTCGATTCCGCTCACAGCTGGTGCCCTGGAAAACTCCCGCGCTGTTCACGCAACCATGACGCCCTTGGGGGGGAACAGTACCCGCGAACGGCTGTTGCAGAGTCGCTGCTCAGCGGCGCGAAGCAGTTGGTTGTTTTTGCCTGAAAGTAAAGTTTACAGAGACACGCCTAGCTGCTGGTGTCTGTCGCGATCCTGGCCGAAAGGTATGGATGTACCTCATGACGTCCGCTGTGCACTGACACCTCTTGCTTGCGTCGTGGCGCGTGCAGCTCGACCAACGCGGCCGCGGATGCCGGATCAAGGCGAGGGATCCCGATGTGCATGGCGGCGACACAACCGAAGCCCGGCCCGGTGAGGGCGCCTCGCATGCGTTTCGTCTGAGAGAGAAGTAGGAAACTAGAGAGCACGATGTGACTCATGACCCAGCTGACGTTTGTGTCGGTTCCACCCTAAATATTCCGGCGGGGCGATCATATCGCGCTACTGCTGAGCTTCTGCCACCGGCCGACGGTCGCGTGGCCCATCAAACGCGCGAAGAAGCGAGACTATATCTTAACCCTTAGGAAGTCTGTTGAATAACACGTACAAGGTTGGTGAATTGTGGGTGGAGCTGCTGTCTGTTGCCCGCTGCTGTAAATCGAATAGTCTGTTGCCCATCCATGCGATACAATGTAGGTTACGTACGTCTTCCGTACGCAAGAAAATCGACCAGATACATATGCATACGGCAGCAACAGCAGTAGTAGTCAAACACACGCACGCTTCGACTCTCGGTCCTGCTGTTTTGCGTCTTCGATGGGGCATGCTTTGCTGCTGTTGTTGTCGTGTTGAGCCTAGCAGCTTAGAGAGTCAGACGCCTTATTGACCACGTGAACACACCTGGCGAGCAAGACAACGTTTACCTACCACGATCACAATTGAAAACACACCGCAGCGGAAGCTCTCGCATACGAAGTACGTGTCATTCTGCTTTGAAATACTTCGAGAAGAAATAGCGGCTGCTGTCATGGTTGGCTACGCCGGTTGTTTGGATAGGCGGTATTTGCAGCGTTTTGTTGCAAGGGCCACAGGTGTAGTAAGGCCAGGTTTTGCCTTCCTTTGCAGGGTATGTACTACTGTAGTGCCAATAGCAATGATGACGCTTCGCAAAGCAGCGGCAGTGGCACCCACCAGCGTACCGCAATCACACCCGGGGGCCGAACTCCACAATTTTTGTAAGTATCTTATTTTGTTGCCAGTACACACGTACCGGTACACTCGATGAGCGCAGGCGTTGCGGTCGTCAAGTATGCACAATTCGAGAGCATGATCAAATTGAGTAAGAAAACAATTTCAAATCAGCAAGCATGTTTCCACCGCAGTCAGCAATGCACAAGCTAGGGCTGGGATTTGGTCTATAGCCGATATGGCGTCCGTTCCCAAAGTGTTAATTGCCGATTTTGCGGCGAACACCACGTCCGCAGCCCAGCTGGTATGTAGGTGCCATTTGCTGTAGATTCACGTGAGATTGGTTCAAGTCCGTAGGCTACGAGCTCGTGCCTGACTCTCGGGGACCCACGTCCCCACACATCGCTAGCCGAAAACGACACCGTCACCGTACGTGGCGTACGCTTGGAGCCGTGTACCATTACATAACACAAGAGAACACCCCCCCGCGATAACATAACTTGTGGGCTTCTGAAAACACCAAGTGTTACTTGTATTGTGTCGGGTGTTGTGGTGTCTTCTGTCGCCCAATTCTTGATCTGAAAGTATTTTGGGCTCATGCTGACCCGTAACAATTCTGCCAACGGGTGTGGTTTTGTGTGGCGAGGTGTTATCTCGTGTGGGTTTGTTCCGTTGTCCCGCGTACGGCGGCAACAGCTACAGCTGTTGGAGAAGCTTGGAAGGGGGGGACAACACTTCCGGCAGTATACTGCTGTACAATAAATACCCTTTTTTTCCCCACCGTGTCGAACATCAGCAGCAGCAGCACGCCGCCGTGTAAACATGCCCACTACAGAATTAAGTGCGCTAAGTGTACCATATAAAAGCAGTTGGTGCCAACACGATACGTTTAGACCCACCTGCCTGTTCCTGGAGCGAACAGATAACGATCTTTGATGCGTTAGAAAGCTTTGAGATGTGTTAAGGATTTTGACTTCTCCACGCGGGCTTGGGACCCGGGTCGTGTCGTCCATCGGCGCTAGTTTTCGACCGTCCATCTCATGTTGTTTGTACCCCACCAAACGATCCTAACTTCACTCGATTCCACCTCCCCCCTGGTGACCCCGCAGGAGGTGATGGGCCTTAACCTGGGAAAGCCTGCCCCAGTAGAGACCCCGGAAGACTACGTTTATGAGCAGTTCATCCCGGACACGCCCATGACGAGGAAGTTCGGACACCTCCGCGGCGCTAAGGTCAAGACCGTTTCGGAGACCGTCGCTGACTTTTACATCTACGTGAGTGATGGAGTGATAGTGTGCTAGAGTGATGGAGTGGTAGTGTGCCGCTCCGCGAAGAAGCTGCTGTACACTACGCGTTACGGTCACGCCGCCTTGGAGATGCTGCACAAGTTGTGGGCTGACATGAGCAATTTTGTGGCTGTTTTGTGATGTGTGGCTTGTGTTGTCCGCGTTCGCCGCGTCGATTTTTTAGACGTGCCAAGAACAATGCTAGCAACGATCGCAGATAGAGGATAACCTCACGTTGTCGTTCGTTTAAGTGCTAGTTGGCGGGGTTACCAGCTGCAGGCATCACTCACACAGCAGTGCCTTGTTGAAGCTACTTCTGCCGTCCTTGCTTGATACGTTAGTTTTGGCGATCGAGGGTAGAAGGCGATCGTCCAGTCTATATTTTGTGTGTAGGAACACAAGTCGTGCAATGTGATGCGTTAAAGTGGAATGTATTCCATCTGCCTGTCTTCTATCCTTTTGCCTCTGTTCTAATCATCGTCGTCTTATGCTGCTGCTGGTGTTGTTTTCTCTCTCTCTCTCTCTCTCTCTCTCTCTCTCTCTTTAAAAGTACAAGAAGGTCGTCCTCACGCAGTTCCGTACGATCGTGACCGAGTACCTCCAGAGCACTCACTTGACCGTGTACGATGCGCGGTTCAAGTACGACCCGTTGTTCGGCGTCGGTTTCTACACGAGCTTCATGAGGTAACTGGCTGACTGACCGACCGACCCACCATTTTGTGACAGCAAGAGTTAACAACTTGAAAGATAGATCGCCTACGCGAGTTGGGCCTTAGTGGGGATGGATGTGAATAGAAGCGTTCGTTCACGACGAAATTTCGAGGACGCCGGCCCGGACTGTCTCAACTTGTTGAGGTTTTTTATTCACTTCGCTCGACCCTTGGTATAGGTTAAAGCAGAGTTTCCCCGCTCCGGCTTCAGGGGGATGAATGCTCATTTTTCAACACCCGAATTACGGAGGAATCGAAGCAAACACTTGCAGAACGGCATGGTCTCACGGGACACAATGTGCCCTCGTTTTTTTGTTCGCGAATTTTTCTTTTTGATGAGAAAGATGAGGCCTGTCCGCGTGAGGTTGATGAACTGATAGACTGGGACATACTGTAGTGGCACCCAAAATGCCATCATTGGCACTACCATGGTGCGTAGTGTTTGCTTATTAGGCTTTTAACAGTAACATCCCGACATACCATGATAGGTACTGTGGGTACGTAGTGTGTGCGTGTTGCGGTTATCCATGCATGTTGCAGCCACGGCACCGACCCCAACCAGCCTCCCTTGTCATTTTCTCTTGGGTCACATTTTTTTGTCGCGACATACCTTGTACCGAGTTGTCCGTTTCCACACTTGTCTTCCAGCTTGTGGACCTTGTCTGACGGTCCCCGGCTACTATAGTATAACACTGATATTTACTGTTGATAACCACTGCTGCCATCTGTTCACATTCCGTACCCGATCGCACCCCCCAGGTTCATGCGCGCCACTGCCCCCTCCTACTGCAGTGTGTTTCCGGTTGATGTCCACTGCTGTCGTCTGTTTGATCTCGGGCTTGCGACCTCACGTGCCATCGAAATTTTCTCCACTCGCGGCCCGCAGGTTCATGCGCGCCTACCCCGTACCGGGGCAGGCAGAGCTGATCTTCGACGCTGTCGTGAAGGCGATCGGGAACGGGCTCGACCCCGATCAGATGAGGAAGGACACGACCGCCCTCAAGGAGTGGGCCGAGGGGAAGACTGAGGAAGACGTGGTGGAGATGATCAAGTCGGACGACAGGAGGTGGGCGGGTTGATTGCTCGAGCGTCTCTTTCCAGAAAGTTGTCGCCGGCAGACTGGAACCGGCGACGCGGTAACTATATGGAACCCTTTTACCCAAGCGAGCTAAATAGGTGTGCTGTTGTGTTGTTTGCGTCTGGGGTGGATTGACAACATTCTCACGAAACGATGGACACGAAAGACGCGCCATGAGACCAGCTTCTCGAAGGAGGTATCATTGCTGTTTGTTGGTCCTTCCCTCTATGGCACACGTGTTCCCGAAACACGCGTGACCTCCGATCAACACCTAAATTTTCCCATGCCTATCTGCCGGTATCGTACAAAAATGCATCCAATATTCAGTACAGTATTCGCGTTTTTCTTCTCATTCTCTCTCTGATTATGCAGCTTCTGTGACATGTGGGCTTGACCAAGCGCAGCATCATGGCTCGCGAACATATTGATCGATTTCGCTCTTTACCGATCTCTCTCTCCCCCCCTCTTTATCAATCTCTCTCTCTCTTTCTCTCTCTGTCTGAATTGGTACCTTCTGCGGTATGTTCGCTTGACCTGTCGTATTACAGCAACATCGTCACCGACGGATTCTACGTGGCGCGCACGGGCCTGGGTCCGTTCGGAGAGGGGTGGGAGGAGAAGGGCGAGGACGTGGACTGGTTCCTGTACAACCGCTTGTGGGGAGTGGGTGTATTCACCCTCATGGAGAACATCGGCCTTGAGCCGACGGAGGAGGTGGGTGTCTCTCTCTCTAGCAGGGGCATGACAGGCGTGTCTCATGTTGGCCTTGCGACGGAAGGGCGTGTCGGTCTATCATGAGTGCCTTACCTCTGCCCTACAGCTGGTTCCTGCTGCCCCAAGCACAGTAGATGGCTTTGACGTTAGTCCTGTCGTGCTACGCCCGTCACCGCGATTATCCCGTTACATTGTAGAAAGTGGCGATCGGCGGATAAGTAGGCGTGTTGATGAAGGGAAATCGGCGTCCACAGTGCGCAGCACAGCTAACGCGTACCTGGGTTAAGAGATCTTCAGGGATGGCTGTGCTTGCGTCGTCACAAACACCGCGCAGGTCTTCGTTTTCTGGCGAACGAAGAGATGCGAGCTGCCGGTACTTCCCTTGACACTCGTTTCGTATTTGACAAGGAGCTCGCGACTCGGCACTCGTTAGCGTCGCCGTTGTTGCGTCCTTGTTATTTTTCGACCTGCGGGTAGAAGCCCAACGTGTGCAGAGCTTCTCCGAGATTTAACTCGCCACCATTTTCGTGCTACGCCGTCGGTCCGCGATGATCGTGTGTGCGTGTGGTGTACGGTAGTGGGAATCCTTTTAAAATGTACATGCTGCAAAGATGTACAGTCGCCATGGTTTGTGAAGCCACAGCTGCGATGAGAACAAACCGCCCCGCTGAGTATCCCATGCCTGCGTACATCCACCAGGCTAACATTTTTTGTCTCGCGCACTTTCGGTCGTGTCTTCTTTCCTGTTGGTGACGGCAACCGCCGCTTTTTTCCCTTCTTTTTTGTCAGCTCTTGGAGAAGTGGTTCGCCGTAGTGGGGACATCAGCCGCGGGCGCAACGAAGGACTTGAACCTCTACCTGGAGCAGATCGGGAAGATCGAGCAGGCAGAGCTGGTGCGTTCACGTCGACCGATCCGACAAACACCACGCAGAGTGGGGTCAGGGTTCGCACGAGGATGCCGTGTTGTCGTTAAATTTTCTACATTCGTCTTGTTCGTGGTTAATTTTGTCTTAGTCGTGTGCCGTGGCTTAATTATTCCCCGCGTTTTTTGTGCGTCAGCTTCGTTGGCCTGTTCTGTCTGGCAAGAGTTGTGCTCCTGGTTTGCGACCAACCTGCTGGCCGTTTGGAGTAACGAAAAAGCTCTGTGTTGAGTTTTGCTCGGATGCTCTGTCCTCACCCCAAGTGATTTGACAGGGTGTACATGAGTACCGGTATACTCGTAAGGACCGAGAGGCCGTATGAAAAATCAGAGCTAAGACTTGGAAAATGTCGAGAAAAGTACCCAGCTTCATCGCCGAGTATATCAGGGTTAATACTCGGCCTTTTTTAAAAGAAGCTTGATCTTCGGTTTCTTTTTGACCGCACCGGCATTGCTGTCACGCCTAACCCGCCCGCTGAACCCCTCTCGTCTTTGTCGCATTTGTCAGCTGTTCAAGGAGATCGAGATCCGGGAGAAGAAGCGTCTCGCCGAGCGCCTGGAGGCCAAGGCGCAGGACGCCATCAAGGCGGCCGAGAGGGCAGAAAAGGAGGCCAAGGAAGACGCGGAGGAGGAGGAGAGGATCAAGAACGCCAAGGAGGGGGACGTCTTGCCCAACGACCTCCCCAAGGACAATTAAGTCGTCACGTACCTCTAGAGTCCGCTTTTTTTCTATTTCTGCTGCTGCTGCTGCTGCTGCCGCTGCTGCTGATGTCAGTGATGGATCATGACGTCATAGAAGCAGGTTCGTTCTTGTCCCTGTTTTTTGTTCCTCCTCGGGGTGTGCACGTGGCCACCGCTAGTAGCCTTGTTTGGTTGTTTTCTGTGGATGATGTGGTTTTTGTCTTCTTTGATGTGTCCCTCACACCCTTTAGTGTGTTGCCTGGTCTCTTGCGCTTTGCCACGGGCAGGCTGATTGAGGCCCGTACACTCACCTGAAAAGATCCTCCCAATTTCTACTCTCATGAACGACTAGCACGGGATATGCGGAAGACGATGGGCGGGTTGATGCATGCATTGAGTTTGCACCAAGAGTAAGCATACCGTTGGCTCTTTCTAGAGATTGTGGGCACATGATGCCGCCCGTGTTTCGCGTTGAGAGTAGGGATCGACTCAACCATTGTGGCAGCTGAAGGTTGGCAGGGCTGCCTACAAAATGGCGGTCCGTTCTAGTGCAGTCGTGGCTCCGTTATAAGAGGGTACCTTACAAGAGGGGGTTCCGATGTAAGAGGGTCGAAATCGGCTGTCAGGGGCTCGACCCTCTAAAGTATAGTTGAGTACTCTCTTATTCCGGTATAAGAGAGGGCTCCGATATATGAGGGTCGAGGGCCTTTGTCACAACACCCTCTTATATCGGAGCCACGACTGTATGTGGATGTCTGACGCGCGTCAGGGTAGCTATAATAGGTGAGAGGGTCTACGGTGCTGTCCCTACATATCTATCTCACAAATACACGTGGGGAAAGAAGTGCCGAGGCGTCCTCTGTAGCGAGGTGATTTACCGTAAAATGGTGGCTTGACACGGCATTAGGTGATTTTATTTGACCAATAAGGCGTTATGCCCTGGTTTCCGGCGGAAGTGGTCCGGGAAGTCTGGGTGGCGGGGGGAGGGTTAGAAGGTGGCAGGTCTGATTGGATATGTACACGGTTGCACGTACGAGCGATATCGGCTTTGCGTGTGCACGACTTGCTGTTTTTAGGGTCGGTTGGGGCTGACCCCATGAAGCGGCGGCAGCAACGCAACTGCTACCTAGAGATGAGAAAGGGGTCTGGCCGGTGCTAGACGACCACCCCCTGGCCCCGTCATTCAGGGGGGCCCGCTGCTGCTTCAGATAATGGACGGTTCTGTATGCATCGCTGAGATGTATATTTTTTTTTGTTGAGCGATGGTTGTTGTGCCGAATGCCAAGGGCCTGGCAGAATGATTGGACACAAAAATACCAAATAACCAGCACGTACCACGAGTCAAGAGTATGGAGATCACAGGAACAAGAGAGGTATTCCGTGGGATGAACGAAGTGTGTCACTGGGTATCTTAAGCTTTAGAGTGGGGAATTAACAGTTCACGCACGTGTACACCGGCACTGGTGACACAACAGGGGGTTAATTCGTCGATCACCCTCTCGTAGTAAGCTACGGGGTTCGCTCGCTGGCCGTGCGAGCGGCGTTCCATTCAGGGGAGGGGTACGCAGGGTGAAGTACGAGGAGTGGGTGGGAAGACAATAAAAGCCTGATGATGTTGAGCCAAACAAAGCACGACGAAAACGGGATCGTAAACACGGGAGGAAAAAGCACAAGCAAGCATGGCTGAGCATGGCAACCATGCAGCAACTGCCAGGTACATGACATGAGTGAAGGTGCACATCAGCGTGGGCGAAGACGCCGCATTCGTTCATGGGACGATATCTCGATGCAACCGCCGCAAATTCGACAAGGATCTCGTGCGTGTCGCGCACGTCGCGGAAACTCCTGCTACGTACGGTGTTTGCTCTTTGGCCGCATTTTTGGCATGTGGCGAAAAGAAACGACAACTCGTTTTATCCAAAGTACGTAACAGTTGGTTTCGTTCTGGAAGAAACCTCCTTCCCCGCGGAACCTTCGACACGAGTTGATAGGACGGCAACACGGAAACGTACTTCCAAAATGTGCGTGGGATTCGCCACCAGCGCGCGCGGCAAGCATCGCACCACATGGCGGGAAGATGAAGGTATACATAACTTCAGCCCAGCCGTGGAACGCAGGATGAGAAAGAAACAGCCTTGTTGCCAGTTAAAAACAACCATAGAGAGGCCCGCGATCATGACATCATCAGTCAACCGCTAAATTAGCCTTGGGCAATCTGCCTTACGGACGGAGCAGAGCTTCTTGTCGTTTCTGAAACAACAAACAAATAAGATATTTCCTACTTCGAAGTACTTCGCAAACCACCGAGAAAATACGTGCATCCACCACCACCGCCACCATCATCATCGTTCGTTGGAAAGTCGAACAGCAGTACTTCCCTTTCTCAAATTTCAACGTTGCCCGCGCGCGTCTCTCTCACACAAGCACGTAGGAAAAGGATGAACATTCAGGTCAATATTCTACACACAAGCCAAGGGAAAACTGCGAGGTCATTGGAAATAGCTGCACTTAAAACAGCTTGTCAGCGTCGGGGGCTCACCAGCAAACTTTCTGTATAGACTACATGCATGGATGACCCTTGACCCTCCCTCTTACAATCAATCCCAGCGCATGCCCCACACTCGTCAAAATACACCTCCTATCTTGCATACATACAATCGGACCTTTCGGTGCACGGCGACCAACCAAAAAAAGAAGAAAAGGAAGAAACGTTGGCTTCTGCTCGTGATACTCGAAAAACTCCCGACAACAAACATGATCGTGTAATCTTCATACAAAACAATGTGCACAAATTATACGAACATTATTATACCAGGTAGCCAACGGTGTTATTACCACTTAACACAACAACCTCTTTGTGTATACACCGCCCCATCTCCAGAGATACCCGCACATTCTCCAAATCCACTATAATACCACCCCTCGGGCACGACAACTCACGTTTTCTACTAGCATCGTTGCCCACGCTCGCGGCTGATCATTGCATGAACGCCAGCCGCAAACGGGTACGAACCCAACACGTGTCGACTACATCCGATCTCCCTTCAAGAAAGCAGGATACCACACAAACTACAGAAGAAGAGCCCTGCCAGGATCCCTCTTCTCACGTTCGCTTTTTCACTCCCCAACTCACGTGCAACGTAGGTCATAGATACAAACCAAAAGGTGTTCCCCTGGCCACTGATGATGACGGACGGGTCATTTTTTGTTTTCTTCAAACCAACTTGTTGTCCAAACCGGTAATTAAGTAGTAATATACATGGTAGCTTCGTCGTCATCGTCGCCCGTCGTCTCCGGGCAGTGATTTCGCCGATTTGCTGACTTTCGTGCGGTCTTGACCACCACCGTTAGGCCCTTTTTTTTTTGCTTCGAACTCTGCTTCATGGATGTTTCGGCCAATCAATCAAGCATCCAACTTTTTCCGTCCTCTCGCCATATTTGTTACGCATGAACTTCATGACCTGCATCACCAAAAGAGGGGGGGCGGGGGGAATGCATAGGTAGGTTTAGCTAAAGGGAGAAACGAACAAACAATGTCTGAGAATAAAAAAAAGTGTGTGAGTTTCTGGATCATCTGTATTTGGCATCGACCGACCCATGAATAGACGTCAGCCATACGTACTGCGAGACAAATATGCGAACATTCTTGGTTCGAAGTGGGCTGCTTTGTCAATGGATTGACGTGTGCCACGGCTGCTTCCCCAATCGAGTTATTAACTGTTTTTATTTCTCGGTACGATGGCGTCACTAGCGGATTTTCAGTTCTGCGTTACTTAAAGTTTGATCGGTTTCAACTATATAATAGCGTAATAAAAAAAACAGAAATATTTAATGCATTGTATTCCCGACGTGCAATTATTGGAGAAATAGATCGCCTTTGCACCCGGATGGCCAACGAAAAAATAAAATAACAGCCATCATGAGTCTGTAGCGAGCTACATCATGCTTGGGACGTGTGCGTGTGGGTGCATGCTGAACTATATAGCATTGACTAGCCGGCTGATGGGTGAAAATATGCCAGTCTGTCTTGCAGCGGGACAAGAAACGCGAAGCCAATACACTGACTGACTCAACTCCCTCCGGTTCGCGCGCACACACACACACACACACACACACACACAGGGTCGTTACGCACGCCTGGAGAACGTGTCTCGGTATACAAATGTAGTTAGCTCTGGAAATAGCACGATAGGTGACCATGACTCTGTAGAAAATTGGTTACAAGTTGGTGATGGGATTTTTTCCTTTTTTTTGAGAGTCCATTGGCCTTCGAACCTCATTGAACAATCATCATGTGACTCGGCGAGGGAAGGCTAAAAACGGTTTACCGCATAAAAAACCGCAAAATCCAAAACTAAGCCCAGAGAAACCACAAGTGATCCCTCCCGCATGGGCTCGTGAAATAACAACAGTGTCATGCGGGGGCGATGCAAGATGAAATAGGCAGCAGCAAAAGCCCACAGCCGGCCAGCTGCCAGCTGTGACGTTTCCCGAGCCCCAACAGCTCACACGGCTGACGTGTTTTTGTCTCGGAGAGCCCAGCGAACCTCAAAGAAGCTCAACGAACCTCAAAGAAACGCTTACAAACCTGCATCTATAATTGTACAGTCTGCATGATTGCGCCCCCCGGGATTCGCGCTTCATGAAATACTTTTCAGGACGAGACATTACCGCTATTATTCAGGGCATGCCTTTAAACCCGGTTGAGAGCATTAACGTAGGGTCCGGTTGAGCGGTTTAAAAAACCGCCAATGAACCGACAGCCTCAACGATGCAGTATTATTGTGCTTAAGCAACAGCTACACCGGGAAAATTCCCTACTTTGTTGGGAAAGGAACAGCAGTGTCTGCCGCAAAGCTAGCCTTGACAAGGGTTACGGGGGTGTCTCATTGCAGCAGTCATTCGAAGGTGGACGAAGAGAACCTACCCTCCCCGCGCGGATAACACAAGCACCAAATACAGCTTCGTGCGTTTTGATCATGCTCAGCCAAGCATGTCCTCCTCCCTGTTGCCTATCTGCCCGACGCGCTGGTTCCGCTGCGTGCTCGATGAGGAACAACACCAACCCGACACTCTGAGCATCTTCTTCTAGCGGACTACGTCAGCATCGACCGCGCTAATCGGCTGGCCAATGAACAGACACCAATCTATCTAGTCATCATCCGGCTCCCGGGAGGCTACTTGGTGTACACGTGCGTGCGCCCGAGGGGAATGTCAGCGAAATTTGGATTAAGTTTACCCGCTACTTTGCTCGCTGATGAAACGAACCAGCTCAAAAATACTCGCTTTGTGGACTGTAGCCGTTTTTTTTGCGAACCGCTGAACCGGGGTGCAGCGGTATCACACCACAAAAAACAGGGCATGCCGCTCACCAAGGGAATCGCCAATAAGCTGCTGTAGCTCCTGTTACAAAGCAGATAACCAGAGTGCTGGTGCATTTTCCTGCAAACTGCTGCTTGGCTGCTGCTGCTGCAAAAAAAAAAATTCAAACCATCAAATCCAAACGAACGTACCGCCGTAGACCACCGATGCAGCAGCCCCCCGACCGCCGCCCGCAATCCAACGCTACGAAACGCTTCAAAGGGAATGCATCACACGCTTGATTCGATGTAATTCAGCGGGCGCTCTTGAGCTGTAGCTCACCGTTCTTGTGGTTAGTCAAGCGCGGCTGGGTTCCAGAGGCGGCAAAGGTCGACACAGAGCAGCTCCGCTCTTCCCTGTTCCCCCACGTGCTCGCTGCCGCAGTGTGTTTGGCACTCCTTGAACGCATCCTCCTTCACGATTGCCTCGCTGTTCGTGACGCCCGCAATCGCGATGAGGACGGCTGCAAGAAACCCGGCGCTCTTGAACACAAGCATAGCTTAGTTCCCCCCCAGAGAACGTAGAACGAACGGGTGAGGAGACGATGATCTGATGTCCTCGAAAAAGGCAGCCGTCACGACTTCGAAAATCGGCTAAACCGAGACGACAAGGACAAGATATGGTCGACAACCGGTGGCCAAGGCAGCGGGATGGTGTTAGATTCTCGAGGAACACCGGCAGGGGGGGGGGGGGGGGATTGGTGGTAGGGTGGGGTGTCTCAAAGCGGAGATCAAAGATTGCCGCGGCGGGAGCCAGTTCCGAAGTTCAAACTCAGCTGAAAAACAATCGCCCCGTTCGTTTACCAACATGCTGTACGTTCTGTGTTCAACCATCATCTCACGCTCAAGGACCGTCGGGTTCATGTCGTCCCTACAGTGCCATCCTACTCACCAGCTGGACGAACGGGTTTACGGGGACAGGTGGGGCGCACTGCTGCAGAGACTTATGGATCCGGTGGGGGGGGCGCGTACTTGCGTATACGTTCGATGGTGAACCGTGAGACCGTGTGAGGTTCTTGAGTTTGAAGTTTGGCCATCTGCCCGCCGAAACGGCGGTCATTCCACCGCAATTAACGGTTTCACGGCGGTTTACAGTTTACAACAGTTTGACAGCATGGTTGGACTCATGCACCATCATTACTTCCATCGATCCTTTAGATCTTTGAGGCGCCTGCGACCGTTGGTGGCCATTGTTGGCGGAAGGTCAAGCCCGCAAACTTTCCACAAGTTCGAAAACATATGGATGTATGACAAATAAAGTCTACCGGGGATCGCTGCGCCCCCGAACGGGCTAAGTGTTTTGTGCGTTACACGTGGTCTGCAGTCTATAACACGATGTGCAAATCGTATCTTTGAGTAGGCAGTAGCCGCGTGCGCGTGAGGTTGCAAAACGGCACTGGGGCGATGGGTCTTAGATTGGTATCCTCTTGACTTGTGGGGTCAACGTCATCTATTCTACTATCTGTGCATACATACATACATAGTTTTGCACGAACGAGAAGGTAGCCCCGTTGCCGTGCTGTAGGACCGTCCGTTATCTACCATTTACTACGTGCAGCAGCGGTAGTAGTACAGCAGTACATGCTGCCGTAGTTCGACTGGCTGCACTACATTTAGGCTACAAGAAACACCAAAACCTAAATCTGTTACATAGTCTTCGAGACGGATAAATCATTTTGAACTTACGCACTTGCTGTTGAGTTCAGTTTTGTTCTGGGTACGGAGACGGAGATAAGGCTGTATACACGCAAAATACACGCACGTCCCGGCGTAACTGGAATTATTATATTATTACTGCGTGCGTTTCGGCCCCGTTTACAACGTGTGTACAGACAATTTGGTACAAAAATACGTGTGCTGTGTGATGTATTTTTCATCTGTCCTCCAGCTGGCGCGAAGCGCGACCCGCGCGGTCCAACCCACAACAACCGTTTTCCGTTTTCCACCACCGTAGACTTCTATAATTTGCCTAATGTACAGCAGTACCCCGCAACAACAAAACAAAAAAAACTTGACCAAGCCGGAGATCGATACTCAGACGTGTCTGTGTTGCTGCTCTGGACGTCCCTTCTCGTCTACCCCGCCCGTCCGGAAGAAAATCGGCAAGAAGAGCCCATGGACCAACACAAGAGCTTGGCCTTTACAAACTTCTTACAGAATTAGTATTCGGGGGTCACCCAACACTTTGTACACTCTGTTCCCCGCGACAAGACCCGGATTGGATGTGCAACCATTCTCCCACGAACGGCTACGAAACCACATGCATACCATCCCACATCCTAAGGTACACCCGTTAACCGCGACTGCAACAACACCCGAAAACATTAGCCCACCCCGAAGATCCGAAGATCATTCATGATTCCATGCTCGACTCCGAGAAAACTGATCTACGAGCACGAATTGAAAGATTAAACTTTTTACAACACAGTCAGTCCAAGGGAAACAAAGCTGCGGAAATATCTCGAACCTACCCTCCAAACCAATATTGAGACAACGCCGCCTTACAAATAACAAGGAAACCCTCAAACGCGTAGAGCGGCCAACCCACACCGTAACGTCTATAAGGTACACCCAATCTAAGCTAACTGCAACACTCCTTAACCGAAGCATATCCGCCGAAAATCAATGCCTACTACGACAACAACAATAAATACGATAAAAGTGAACGTACGGACGGCGGTCTTGACCCCCACAGCGATGAACAACACAGCGAAATGCGGTATGTCTTGCGACTTGCAGAATCCAACGAAAACTCAAAACTTTGAAATTGAACGTATCTTGTGCGTATGGCGCACGGCACCAAACGTGCAAGTGCGTATGGGTGACAATACGAGCTCTGCACGCCTGACAACGTGCTTGGCTCCTCTACAGCGCTGGCGCTTTGTTTAAGACAATCATATAAATGCCTTGTGTGTAGTACTCGCGCGATGAAAGCAGTTTGTTCTTCAGACCGAGACTTCACACACAATGAGCGACAATTGACAACCGCAATGCAGCGTGTTGTTACTCAGCAACGCACTTTGTAGACCGAAACAGCTCACTCCGGCATGCCCTACTTCGACACCTCCACATATATAGGGTGTTCGCTCAGACCGACCTCAGAGCAAGGCGCCCTCGGTTACGACCCTAAACACGCTGGTAATCTCTCCGCGTCATCATCAGGCGAGCAAAAAACGTGGGCGGCTTTGCGCCATACGTGCTGCTGCAAAGGTGCGTAGTCGACGAGCTCTCCGTCGACCGTGATCCTCCCGCTTGACGTTAGCGGCTCTATTCGAAACGCCCGAACGCGGTGCCACGAGATGCACGGAAAGCGAGGCGAGATGTGCCCACCTTTTTCCATTGCTAGAAACATCTGCGAAAGTTGTTGGGGAGCGTGGTGGGCATCGGTTAATCAATGATGGAGGTGGAGGCGGGGTTGGTGGCGTGTTGCCATAGCCCCACAGAGGCGCCTGATGGAGAGAGGTTAACGAGTACCTGGTATATGAAAATCTCGGTGCCGAGTGCGTTGGGAAATGAATCTACCCAAAGGCACGCGTCGAGTTTCTCGTAGTCCTGACGCGTAAGCAGAAAATAATGCTCGAGTCCCAGGCAGCAAAGGAGACAAGTCACTACAGCAATTTTGTGCTTGAGGTGTGAATACGTGCCACATGCTGTTACGCGCACCTGTATCATGGCGAATCTGCTGGCCCCCTTCTTGATGAAGAATAGGTCAATCAGGCCGTCGCCAATGCGAGAGTGGGGAGCCATGGGCATGTCGTGCGCGATATGCGAGGCCTGTCCAACGGTGGAGATGGATCGGGCAAGAATCGTTGTTGTTGTTGTTGTTGTTGTTGTTGTTGTTGTTGTTGTTGTTGTTGTTGTTGTTGTTGTTGTTCTGTTGTTGTTGATGATGACGATGGTTGAGTTGAAATGGTGCGAGTGGTGGTGTTGGGGGCCGTCAGAGAAACACCTCATCCACACAAGGCTCAGAATCTTAATCCTTTATCACAGCGGTGAAATCGCGCCAAGTTTAATTCAGACACGTAACGACATTGTCACAGGATGCAAAGCGCGCGGTTACCGCCGAGGGAGCAAAGGTGGCAACGGGTTCATAAGTTCCTTCAATCGACTGAGCCTCCAATTCCCACGTGTTGCCGAAACGGAATCGCGAGTAACACTTGTTGCGCCCGGAAACCGTACCACGGAAGGTAGAGTGATACGGTTTGTAGCCTCAAACCTGTGTCATGTCAGCGAGGATGAACTCCCCCTCTACGCTGGTCCAGCCCTCGAGGGCGGGAGCTCCCGCAGCGGCGGACTCAGAACCAGCGCCGTCTTGATGTACGGGCTCCGATAACGGTGGCATGCGGAACGGGGCCGATGCTGAGGCATTCTTCTCCCCAAGGGGTAGCCGAAAGGTATGGTAGATCGGAACGGCGGGGGCACATAGGAATGTGCTAAGTGGCGAGGGGCCAAGTGCAACAATAAGACAGCCCACGCTGACGTAGACTAGTACAAAAAATTGGATGTTGTACTCGCTAGCGAGGTGCCTATGTTGGTTTTTGACGCTTGAGCGGTTGCCGGGTTGGCGTGGCCCCAAACCGAATTGATCGGGCAACATAGCAGCCGGAACTCCCCATCTCGAATCTTTCGCAGAAAAATCATCGTTTCCACGGGAAAATCAGAGCCGACGGATGACCGCAACTATTTGTTACCATTAAACAACGTAAGGCGTAGTCACTGTTCCTCCCGCCTACATTCCACAATTGTAGCTCGGCTTGGCGGGGTACTGTCAGCATCGTCCTCATTGGAGGACTGCCTACGCAAAGAAAGTCAGTTTACATTGAAGTACGAAAGAAGATCAGGCAGGGGGCAGACCCTAACCCTAACCCCAACTTAGCCGATCCCATACTTTATCCAGTATGTTTGATTTCGTAGAAAACTCAGCCGATCCTACTCTATATCCAGTATGTTTGCTTACTTGGGAAAACTTTGCCGATTGTATGCTTTATCCAATATGTTTGCTCCTTCAGAAAAACAGTCCGTAGACTACTGTTGATGGAAGCTCCTAGAAAGGCCTACCGAAGGAGTAGGGGTGGTGGCGGCAGCGGCATCCAGGTCGGGGAGAAAGCTTATCCGTCCCCTGTAGTGCTTGAGGTTGGCAATGCGCACGATGGTGCCGACGGTGAATCGAAGAGACCCCATCCAGCGGTAAGCCTCCGACTCGATGTCGACATCACTGAGAAGGAGGAGGCGTATCGGCATGTGGGGGGTGTGGGAATGAGGGGATACGTGCGGACACAGGTCTACAAACGCGCCAGCTTTACTCCAGCACCGGTGCGGCGTGTCCTAAAAAACAAAATGTTGAGTGCATGGGGGTTCTTATGTTTCGCTCTCGTGTGTAGCCGCGGGAACATGATCCCCGGGTGGGGTATTCCTTGGGGGGTGGTGTAACCGTTGTGGATGTGCTATCTTTCTTGGTACCGTATGGTAAAAATGAAATAAAATGCGACCTGGGCACCGTATCGGACCCTCCGATTGCGCTTCCTTCGCACACAATTCGGACCGGCTGGGGCATTGCGAAAGCATGCGGCGGTCGTTGCTGAGACACGCCCCCTAGAGAAGATTTGCTCCTCCACCAGACGTTAATTATCTACACACGCCAACGGTACGGCTGGTGTAGACAAGGGGGTGAGGTAAGCAAGGGGATTCGACGGCACCGCACCGGAAGCGAGGATGGAAGGGACGACTGATACAAAAAAAGATGAAGAGTACACGCTGCCACATGGAAGCTGACTTACTTGTTGTTTGCGGAACAATCACATTCAAGCTTCGTGTAAGGCCATGACAGCGGGATGAGTGGACGCATCTCCCATCAATGAGATAATAGTGCAACCACATGCCACATGGGAACACACGGAGAGAATACGTGTGCCTTGAGGATCAAACGAAAAGTGTACGGAATACCCTTCTCTACTGCATGCGCACTAAGGGCGTGTCGGAGAGGTAGGGGTTAAAAATCCTGCTGCCCTTGGAAGCTTCGATTTGATCTGGCGTATGTCGTCTGGCAAAATAGTTTCTCACCTGATCATGCCCCACCCGACGTTGAGGAATGCCAGGTACTTCTTGTCTGCCGACTCGGTGAGCAGCAGGTCCATCGCCTTCGTCTGGCCCTTTGCAGCGAGAAAGGACGCGCTAACCGCGCCGAACCATTCTCCGGACTCCACGCTCACCTGTTCCACACGGCAGACCGCTCATATTTTCAATTTCATGCTGGGATGGTAGTTGACGAGAGACAGGGGAAACGGCGTTTCATGCTTGGTCCGAAGTGGTAACCTACGAGCTGCTCTGGGCGTGGCCTGCCCCCAGCAGCTTGCACAAGGTGTAGCCCACTCGACCGCGGGGTTGTCGTATTCAACGCACACGAGCAAAGGGTTTCCAATCACGGAGCCCCCGAGCGAGCGTTCGTCATGCCCGCTTCAATCCGTTTATGTCCCCCAAGAAGTGAGAAAACTACACCAACGAACGCCTACGTCCATAACGATGATGCCTCGCTGGATATGACAATCGCCTACCCCTCCGTCGCTCTCACCGTCTTGGCCAAGCCGTTTCCTGATCCCGCGGGCACGATGCCTAGGGACAGCCGCGACAGCTGCCGCGCACAGTCCGGCCGGGCGTACATGCCCTGAAGGACCTGACCCCACAACGAAAAGACCACATGCAATAGGACACAACATTAACACAATGGATTAGCACCAAAAGGGCGACATATTAGCAGCTGGGCGCAGAAGGACAGGATTGACAAGTCGTACCCGGACTCAGGCCATTTTTTCGACAGTTTGGATATACTCGCCTGGTAGCGTATGAAACAACGCTATGAGACGCGGTCCTGCGAATCACGGCTTTCTTCACCTTGCTTGGCCGTTCCAACCACCAGGCTCCCGCTGCCCCCCCGACATCAACACCACCACCAAATGGTCTCCGGAGCACGGCAACATATATTTACAGTACTGGGGGCCCTGTATATTGCCGGTCGAATAGTGCCAGGTGCCCGGTATAGTACCGGTGTTTTCGGCTTGCACACACTGAAGTACCAAGTCGTTCTGTACTCTGAACAGTGCCGCTGTCGGTATATAGTAGTGCCGGTTAAATATCTGGACATATACCGGCACTATACAGTGCCCACTACTGTACAACAAGGTCGCACACCTCGAAGAAGGTGCCATCCCCTCCGACGACCACGATGCCGTCCAAGTCGTCCAAGCTTCCCACGGTCGAGCCGCCACCCCCCCCCCCGGCTGATGCGCCCCTCGTTGCATCGGTGCTGCTGTTGTCGCCAGCGTTCGTGATGATCTCCGCTAGCTCGCCCCGTCGTGTGGAGAACACTACGTTGGCGGTAGTCATGGCTTGCTCCAGCATCGGCCTGGTTTTGGGGTCAAAGTTTCACGACGCGTGGTTGGCCAACGGGGACGGATCATGGGGCAGCTATGCCTAGTGGAGAGCGGGGCAAGAGGAGGTTAGTAACATTTACCATCGGGCAGCATCAAGGAGCGGGGCATAGGGCTGCTGCTGCAGCCGTACCTTACACACATCGAACCGCGACTTGTTGGCTGGTTGGAAACGGTCCTGTCTGTTTTGTGCACGAAGCGACAGCGGTCGTATGCATGACCAAACGACGGAAACGAAACCTGCAGACATTGGAGCGTTCTATAGAATCGCTTCGCCGGCAGGGAGATACCCAACACGCAACCCCTACAAACGCGCCACGCTTTCAAACCATAGACACGGTAGTCCTCGAAAATTCCAACTCGACATAATCAACAGGGGCAACACCCAATCACCCCATGTGCAGCGATTGCATTTAACAGAGTGCAGCGAAGACTCGTAGCAGCAGAGCACATCAATAGGCATGCCAATTCAAAACAGACGCATCAGGCCACTCGGCGCCGTTCCTTGCGACAGACCTGAGGGTCTTCTCCCATGTAGACCTCGATTCACCCGTCCCGCTAACCGGGTTGACCAAGACCAGCAGTCGTCGGCCTGGCCCCCTGTTGCCTCTCTCCAGATCTTCCTCCCGCCCTTGGCTCTGCCTGAGACGGTTGTTGATCTCCGTGGCCCAGTGCTGAGCCGTGTCAGGATCGGACGCCAGCCACGTCTGATGGGTGGCTCTTCTTTTGTTTTTTCGACATGGCCTGCGCCCAAAGGATTGGGCGGGACGGAGGGGGGAAGGAAGGGAGGAGAAGCAAGAAAACAACAAGCGAGAAAGGGGGGCACGTTTTGAATGGAGTCAATGTACAAATCTCTAATGTTGCTGCCGCCGTCTGGTAGTATTGCCAAAAGGGGAGCCACAAATGAATTTCGGTCGCCGGAACTCCCCTAGTGCATTGCGCATGAAGGAGGGTACGCGACCATGCTCCTGGTGCCCCCTAAGCCTGAGGAGCAGCTACATCAGGCACAGACGACAACCCTTGCTGTTTTCAACTCTGCGAGACTGGATGGTGCGATCAAAATCCACAACGCGAGTCGTGCGGCAGCAAGGGAGGAGGGCTCGAAGGAACCATTGTGCCTCCGCCCACCGCTTCAAGGGCTTGAGCTACTAGGAAGGGGTAGGCGTTACCGCTACAAGCAGACAACTACACACATTGAACTCACCCGCCCCTGCCAGTGCACCCCATCTCCTTGCCCTCGCCGCTCGCGACGTACGCGAAGACCTGCAACTGGTGCACGATACCCCCACGCCCGTTGATACCCCCCCCCGCTCGTTGTCCTCCGCCCGAGGCAGGAGCGGGTCCCGCCTTGGCTCCGACAACGTCCGCGAGGCTCAGGATAAGCGGCGCTGAGTCTTCCTTGCCGCTGGCGGCATAATACTCTAGGGATGTTGAGGTCAAGCACAGCGGCCGGGTCTTGTGGTCTCGCAGCGACCTGGTTGTTAACAATAGTTGCAGTAGTTGGAGGAGTCGCACATCGGCTTGAGCAGCGGCGTTGGGCGCGAAGTCCCACCGCAACGTTTGCCAAACTGGATGGCGGGTACCCTACTTGGCATTGGCATGTTTTATTCGCGAGCCAGAGCATTTCCGGGACAATCGCCGTCAAAGCGGTGGCACTGGTGTGCTCGGTTGTAACCCTACGCGTCCACACCCGAAGAAAGAAAAATAAATATTCATCGGCACCGCTGACCGCGACACCACTCAAGAACTTGGCAGTCAAGGGGTTCTTAACAAGCGATCTTGATTTGGCTGATTTTGAAACGACCGAGGGAGCACCGAAACCATTAATCGTAGGCGAGACTACACGACTAATACTATAGCGGGGAAGTTGTGTGCAACAAAAACAGGTCCGGTGTTTCGTAGACACTTGTTCCTAGTCGACTTCCACGTTCTTTCTCTCTAACCAAGACACTTTTTCCCACCTCTTGTTATTTCAAGTCAAAATATGTGACATAGCCGGTGCTCCAATAGGGCCATTGCATGGCGGAGTCCCACTTGAACATCTATTCCAGACGATAACATCCACGGATCAACGATGTGCGTAATTCGACACCATGGTCCCGGCAACAGATCTGGGCGTACCAGTGTGCATGACGCTGCTCCATTTTGTCTTCTACCGATTTGGCATCGAACGGAAACACTTGCGAGAAGTTTGGATAAGCACCGATCATGTCGCCCGGTAGCTTCCTGTGTCTTAATTCAGAGTAACGGAACTCTTTTCCAGCTTGATTTGAAAGAAGGTAAACGGACATAGACCGCGTATGGCTGCGTGATAAAGACAAGCCCCAACCCACTGCTTGTGCGACACGACCATAGTTTTTTTTTCTTGGGGAACACTTGGGGCTTCGGGCGAACCTCGTGTGATCGCCGGGTGCTTTAGAGATACATATGTCGGTCGTTTCTACTTGGTCAACATCGGTTTTCGTCACAAGTGAAGACTTTCAACATTTCGAAACACTAGAAACGTAACCCCGGCCCCATGACTACAAAGATCTCAGCGCGGACTTCTTTGGCCTTGGTCTAGGAGATAGCTCCTAACCTAACACCAGGTCCTCCGACCGATCCTGCCCGATCCTGGACCCGTCCGAAGGATCGGGTGGTTTCCGGCGAGAGATCGGACAGACTACAACAGTAGACTACAGCAGTATCTCAAACCAACAACCAAATCATTGATCAAAGCAATCAATGGTGTTCAATGGGTTCACCCGAGATACGAGATGCGATTAATATCTATGTATCACCACACCTGAAGCTTCGATCGTCTTGTAGAATACACCGCTTGCACTGCTGCTGCTCCTCTTCGTGATGATGATGCTGGTCGCCGCTGCTGCCCAGCAAAGACGTCGACGGGGGGACATCCTCCACCGCCATCACGACAGCAAGCCTTCGGTGCAACCGAACAAGATTGCACACGAATATACAGCACACCAGGAGTAGAAGTCTCCCGGGCATGCGCACGCTTCCTTTCGTGCTGGAGAGCTGCTGCTGTTGCCATCCACGCCTGGCGAGTGCTCGGAGGGTTTCTCCTTCCGGGTTCACGTTGCCAGGAAGGCTTTTTCGCTGGGGCGGGAGGAAACGCACGGTCCCGTGTCCCATATGGTCCTGCTCATCGGTTAGTCCTAAAGAGTTACTATCAATGTGTAACCAAGGCTCGAGTGAGCGCTCGCCCGCATGTCCGGTTTATTGATGACCATCGAGGAACGTGCTTTCGAGAGCGAAGCTATTATGTAAGGCGAAGACTATCACCGAAGACTATCATCTTTGTCGGTGATTGATGGTGATACCAAAATATTGATGTGATGCAGAGCTGTGTACATGCAATTTACAATTTACATGTCAAGGGGCGCTGCGGGCAAAAAAATGATTCTGTAAAAATAAAAATGGTTGTCGGCATACCTCTCAACGGATCTCTGTGTTGCTCTCCCTTGCTCCTTCCACACGTCACATTTCTTCGGCATTGTAGTGCGCCTGTGTCAACGCTGCCCGAGCTCGTGTGGTATCGATCTTCGTAACGGGTGACAGAGCTATCCGCGACAGAAGACGGGCCACTATTAGGACTGGCGTACCAAAGGTGGTGAGGTAAGGTTCTCCTGTTTGCATACACATAAGCATACGTGCTGTCTTTTTTCTTTTCTTTCAAAGTCTCCTATAAACCGAGTTACGAGCCGTTGCGAGGTGGAGGTCCGTTGCTACACCATACACCCCATCACGAAACACCGATCGTCGTGTTCCGCACGGCCACCCATAAGGTGTCTAGCTTCACAGTGTCATCCAAAGCTTCCGCGTAAACCCGCCGTGTGCGTGAATGTATACCTCTCTCACCAAGTGACAGACCAAGTCAGATTTTTTAATTCGTCGTCATTCCAGAACCACAACTTTCAACTCTTCACCCTCACAGCAGTTGTAGCGGTTCAGCACACACGACCGCGTACCCGTTACCTCCCCTGCCTTTGTTCGGAAACATGACGTTGCCGGTCAAAGCTTTTGGGCTTCTAAGGGCCGGGAACATGCGCATCACCGTCGAGTAAAAGCTGAAAAGAGAAAAAGAGTTGTGTGTCTCACTGATGGTCTGTCGGCTTTTTTTTTTTTTTCTGGTACAGCGTCCTGCCGTCCTGCCCGCTCTCTCGCGGTCTCTCGGTGCATACAGCAGTATCAGCCTATCCCGCTCTCTCTGGCCTCCATTCCTCTTCTGGTCGGTAGGCTGATGTGCATTGTACCTCCGTGTTTGCATCGAAGTATCAGTGCTCTTCGCATCTACAGCAGCTCAGCCAAGATTTGTCACGCGTTGCTGACTGCTGTGTATCGTTTTCCCTCCATTGCCGGTGTATGTAACGGGTGCGGCGGGCGGCGCGTCGGGATTAGGATCTCTGGGCGAGCATTCGGGCGCGTCAACAGGAACACTGCTGCTGCTGCGGTTGTTGGCATTGCCTAGGCGAAATCTTGGAATCCACTTGGAGCCAGACCTAGAGAAGGAATGCCTCCGGAGCCAGAGCTTGCACACCCTTCCTTCTCCCGGCGGGCCAGCAACACCTCGGCGGCGTCGTCGTCGTCCAGGACATCTTCGGCAGAAAAGGCTCACGCCAAGTCTCTCAGGAACGCTGGGAAAGAGGTTCGTGCGCGTTCGATCGACCCGTTGGTCTCTTTAGTTCTTTCTACGCAACGGCGACAAGAGACCAGTTGCACGCATATATGCATAGATGCGTGAAATATGAACAAATGATTACAAGTGTTCGAATGAAGCAATCAATGTTTCGTGCACACGTGTATTGTAGTGTATGCGTCTGAAAGCCGGAATTTGGGGGCAAACATTCCCTCATGTTGGTAAGCTGGATGTTGTGTGTACAGCAGTGCTGCTGGCGTACGTGGCGTAGCCGGTTGCCATCGTTTGGTGAGCTCAAAATTCTGTGTGTTGTAGTGCTCTCCTCGCGGAATCACGGGCGGTACTGAATGTTGCTGTCAGGTCGTGCATTCGCAAGTGTTTTCAGTTGTTTGTTGCGTCACGCCACTTCGTTCATTTTTCATCGATCGGTATGGGACTTGGATCGCGCGCTGCGCGTAGGGAGTTGTTTGACCGTGGTCCTGCTAGCCTTTGCGCCACCCGTACATAGATGCTCCTGCAATGCGTTGTATGCGTGCGATACCTTGTGGTGCTTTTTTTGGTACGGAAACAACACGAAATCATTTCCACTGGTATGAAGTGGTAGCTCGTACTGATGCCGTATTGGTGCTGGGAACGGTAAATGGCGACTGCTTCACACGCTGAAGGAAAAAGGAGAAAAAAGGCGTGTGGCTGCTGTACTCAAGCGTTTCCCCCCGTAGGTTGTGACAGCAGTCCGCTGCGTCCGCGTCTTTCCTGGGTTACGAACTTCGCCAGACAATGAGTCTTCACCATCATGTGTGCATCGGGTTGAAAATGTTGTTCGTCGTACATTCAGCAGTTGTTGTTGTAAAGGATGTTCTCCGGGTGGGCGGTAATTCGTGTAGCTAACGAATCCCGCTGGCAGTGGAAAGAGCGATACAATCATCACGGAGACAGCTGGAGAGTGCCGGGCTTCGCCACATGGTGTGTGTATGTGTGCAGACAGCGGCTGACGCAGCTGCGCACGGGTTCTGTGTGGCTAGGTTTCACAACTCCCAATAGCAACAGCAACGTCATTGTTGTGCCCTGCGTTGGGTTGGGACCTACGCTGCTATGTCTTGCCGAGGTCCGTTCGCCGCCACTGCCGAACCCTTCCTTAGATTTTGCTGTCTGATCGACCCAAGCTCTATCCTCCAGTTTTTATTTGAGTTGCCGGTACTGGCCCGCCGAGGCATGCTTCTTCTCATCTAGACTGGGTTCGCCACTATCCGCACTAACGCCGGTGGCACTTGATTAGTGCCGGTTTGTTCGTCGAGAGTTGCCTGTACAACTGCCGGCCTGCCACTTTATGCCAAGAACAGGCTTCCACCCACTGCTGTGCTCCAGCGTGCAGAAGTCCACACTACTGGCTTGTCGTCTGAACTGAAGTCTCGTTCCCGCCGCCGTTGACGCTGTTGCTCCTGCCTGTTCCTTCATCGGAAGGCGTTCTTGACGGTGGTGAGGGAAACAGTGCAAGAGCTTGGGCTTGACGCGGCCAACGAAGCCATCGAAGAGGAGGCAATCAGGATGGAGGAGATGCAAACAAGGTACGCATCCGCTCATGTGTGTATGCGGGGGGGCACCCCTGCGCACATTCCTGCGTGCAATTCAACGAAATGAAAGTGCTCGCGGGTTGTCTGTTGGTGGCCCAATGGCAGTATTTGGCTTCTGTCGTTGTGTGCCCTGCGGCTTCTTTTTGCGTGAGGTCGATTTTATGCTCGTGTTCACCGGCACTTTAGCAGATTCGAGACTGCAAGCTTGAACTGTTCAAGATCATCGAGGCGAAACATGGCTTACCCCCGCACCCCTTCCCTCCCTCCCGGCAACCCCTCGACCGCCCCTGCCGAAGGCGCTCCGGCAGCAGTCGATCGTTCCATCACAAACGAACCGCGAGCCGCGGCAGCAACCATGATCTCATCACCCCAACGTCGCACGGCCGGCCCGGCCTCGGCGCCAGCCAAGACTCGGCCTGCGGCTCTCCATTCCGGTCCTCAACGTCCTCCCGCACAGCGGGGAGCGGTCGGCGCTCTAGCACCGGAGGGCATCATGGCGTTGGCGTTGATACCGCCGAGCCGTCAGAGCGCCGGCGCCGCCGGCATAGGAAGTCGTCTATGGCGCAGGGGGAGGGGCAGTCGATCGTCGCCGCGGCGATGGCCAACTTCGGAGGTGGTGTCGATGCTAACCCCGGTGCCATCCCAGAGGAAGGGAGAGTCTTGTCGAGGTCGTTCCAGGGGTCCGATTCTGCCGATCCGGGGGATGATTCGGCTGCTGCTGAGGCTGCGGTGGGTAGGCCGGCGGCAGCGGCGGCGGAGGGGGGAGGCGAGGCGACGTCGTTCCGGAACACTGCGGAGACGATGGAGGACGACGAGAGAGAGACGCTGTTGGCGTTGCTCACCGGGGCGTACGGCCAGGTGGGTGGCTGACGGGAGGGATAGAGGGTGTGTGTGTGCGCGTGTTTCGGAAGGAAGGGGGAGTGAGCGAGACGGACTTCACTGACTGGCAGATAGAGAAGACAGACAGACAGTCGAACAGAGAGAGGCAGGCGGACGGACAGGCAGAGACATGACACAGTAGAGGCAGACACACTACATTCCTGCATGGTTGCACGTTCTCACGTACAGTAGTCCCGTCAACTAGGATGGCTCATTCTTACGGTGTTGGTTGCCCACCAATCAACATGCTCCTCACCACGATGCTGGTGACCCCAAACGATATCAGGTGAACGACCTCACGGACGAGCTCAAGATATCACTCGACAAGCTCAACGATACGGAGAAGGAACTTAAGGCGGTAAACGCTGCCCACGCCAAGCTGCAGGCCATGCCCAACCCATCCCCTACATGTGAGCCGGCGGGAGAAACGATAGTTTGTTGTGGTTGCTGCTGTTGTTGTCGTGTTGGTGTGAGGCCGGGGATGGAGAGAGGCCTACGGCTTAGCAGGCACGACAGACACATCACCCGGGGTAGTCGTCTTTGTTGTTGTCGGGCGTTGAGCAGTTGGCGACCTCGAGGGCTGATGCCTGTCGAACATTCCATCCCCCCCGCCTAACCTGTTACCAGTTCTGCGAGCAAGCGTGATCGGCAGGCAGCACCGGCCCTTTGCTTTGACTCCTCTGCGACCACGCTTCGCTGCAACCATACGAGCAGATGGTTCCCTCATCCCTTGACATGACCCGGCCTGCCCTCTCCTTGCACGAATCGCTTTTTTTTTTGTTTCTGTACCCCCAGCTTTAAACGGCCAATCAGGCGCGCACGCAGAGGGAGTTACCCCGAAGCGATCTCCCGTTTCGAAGCTGCTCAAGGATGTCTTCCCGAACGACGAGGTAGGCCTCGCTACAGTGATATAATAGTCCATGGCGGAGATCCCCCGCTCTCACGCTACGCGACTTGTGTCCCATTTCCCTTGACTGCTGTGGTGGTGAGAGTTTCTTGATGACTTGAACGTTGGAAGCATGCGTGCTTGGGATCATCATCGTTGTGACCGGTCAGCCTGGTGTCCACATCGCCGGCTATGTGTGTCTCCTCTCGTCGGAAAAGCTGTGCCTGCCCAGCGAAGCATTCGATTCCTGCGCCACTGCTGTGTCAGGAGTATGGCCTGCATGCAAGGGAACCCGAAGCGAGCGCTAGCTGCTGCAAGTTGATCTTGTCGCGATGAACGATCATTTGTTTTATTCGGTTTTATGTGCATACGTGGAATATGTGTCTTAATCGCGGTGCGTTGTCGTGCATGACAGGGCGGGAGGTCTACGCCGGCCGCCGTTAGGCAGCTGCAGGTGGAGGTGCAAAGGCTGAGACAGAGGAACGCTCAGGCTCATTCCAAGGAGGAGAAGTACAAGTCCGAGATCGCCCACTTGAAGAGGTAGGGAGGCGACGGCGGCATACGCAAGAGAGAACCGGGGGGGGGGGGGGGGGGGCGAATATTGAAACATCATATAGTTTCAGCAAAGATGGTCAATGTGCAGATGGATAGCTGAGTCAACAAAAGAGAAAATGGAAATGAGGAAAGCACAGATAGAGAGAGGGGCGGGGGGTGGGGAGTGAAACGTGGCACTTGAACCCTTTGTGAGAGCGCCTGAACTAAGATGCGGAACATTGAACAGGATGCTCGTTGGCACCCTTATTTGTTCGTGCCCGTTACCGAGGGTCGACCCCGTCTCTGGGACGGTACTTTTTGTGAAACTGGAAAGGTATGTATCTCTTCTCATCCCAGGCCATTTCCCGTCGTCCCCTCCCCTTCCTGTCCCTCGTGGCATTGTTTTCGGCGGGTGTACAGGCTGATGGCGGTGATGGAATCGCAGGTCGCCAACGCCGACCCGGACCTCGCTAGCGCCAACTCATCCCGCAGCCGTTCTGCGAGACAGATGTGAGTGCTTGGACCTAACCTCGCCGCCGTTTTTCTGCTGCGCGCAACATGCTTGTTGGTATCGAGGAGAGTCTAAAAATTTCGTCCTTGTTTTTTAAGTGTCCACTGATTGTGCCCTTTTAGTGTGTTGCAACAGGACGACAAGGTTTTTCGGGCTGCGGTTTCTTGTTTCGGGCAGTTTCGGTGTTTGCTGCAGGTGTTGGCGTGTTTTCTGCCTTGTACATGGAAGAGTAGGATGCCGATCATGGCCTCCATATCGCAGTTTTTTTTTTCTGTTTTTTTTCTCCGTCTGACCCCCGGCATCAGCAACGAAGCAACGGAGCTGGCCAGGAAAGACAGGTGTTCATGTATTGTTTAACGTTTGGTGGCCCCGGGAACGACCATCGTGATGCACACATACCCCCCCCCCCCCCTCCCGCTTCTCGTCTTGGCGAATTTGGCGCGCGGAAACCTTACGCCGGTTTGACTCCGATATCGTTCACTGAACGGGAGCCGCCACGCAACGCCGGGTGTCTCGACACACTATCTATTCCTTAACCTCTCGCCACGCACGTCTCCCTCTCTCGTTCGTTGTCCCTTGCTGCTGCCTCCGCAGGTCGACGGCCGGTGGCGCGCACTCGCAGGACGGGGCGACCAAGCCGCTCGTGGCACGCGTGGCCGAGCTGGAAGAGAAGCTCGTGGTCTGCAGCATGGAGAACGCGACGGCGAAGCAGGTCGGGAGCAAGCAATCAAGGAAAAGGGGGCGAGGGAGGGAGATTGCGCAGGGTTTTGTTTGGGCCTAGTTTGTGGCATTTGGCGGTTGTTGCTCCCCCCCCCCCTCCATCCGCTGTGCGCACCCCACTGGTGCTTACATAACCCGGTTCGTTTTTGTTGACACGGAGGGGGGGGCGGGGGGGGCTATTGTGTCCCCTGTATTGCCGCGTTTTTCGTGATACCACAATACGGGCACCCTCCCAAAACATGTGTTAGCGCGTGTTGCTAGCGTGGGTGACCTCTCAATACCATATTGATGCCCCAGGTTCGATGCCATTACAGCTGCGGAATTGCTCCATGCTGAATCATGACCTATACGCCGTAGGTGGATTGGATTCCGTGTGTTGGCGTGTGGTGCTCCACCTGAATTCTTCGCATGCTGTTGCAATTTGTGATACTTGCGTTCATCGTGCATGCTTCACCGAGTTAGTGCCAAACGCGATTGGTAACTCCACGATCTCAATCAAGGTCATGCATGGTGCTACACTTGGTGATGGTGTTGCCGCGGAATGGCACGACCCAAACGCCGTCGATGTACTCTCATGTCATGCTCTCCTTTCCCGATCCGACGCCATTCAACAGGAGCACCTGACGTCACAGCTGGCAAGCCAGAAACTTGAGAAGACTCTGCAGAAGCTGAGGCACGAGCTGGCCAAATCTCGAGCCATGAACGACCTCCTCCAGAACGAGGTGCGGAGGAAAACTTAGCTTTCACAACGAATTTAAGCTTGGGTTTTGTAAGCTTGGGTTTTGTAGGGGTTATGGGGTGGGGGTGGGGGTTGGGGTTGGGGATACGGAGCCCCCCTCTTTTTTGCACAGGTCAACTCTACTATCCTCGCGAAGGCGGTCCGAATAAAGAGAGCCGGCATCCATGCCCAACGGGATGCAGCACCAACGGGTAGCCTTCTCCTTCACCCCCACATTCGGGCCATTCCTATCACGTCGTTTTTTTTTTTTTTTCTTAATATAACCAAACGAATCCATCTCCATCTAAGAAAAGAGTCTAACATAGATTTTTTTTTTCTTCAGATCGACCGACTGCAGGGTCATGACCCAGAGGGCGAGGCGGACGGCAGCGGTTGGCGGCGATGGCTGGGTGGGGTACAAGAGCCCTTGTCCCCGGAGCCCAACCCCATACAGGTCAGTTTTTTTTTTTTTGTGAGAGACGGTTGTGTTGTTTTCTTTCTTCTCCCTCTCGCACCTTCTGCGTTGTAGGCTGATCTCGAGATGTCCCATGACTGCAGCAGTTTGAGATGAAGCCGTTTTTGAAAGCAGCACGCCATGTCGACTAGTTCATCTCTCTTGCTTGTCCTATGGTGTTGTTGCTCCCCCAACGTCACTGCTGGTCTGTCAACCAGTGACCCCAACCTGTCAGCTTGAGTTTTCGCGTATGCTACGATGTTTTTGTGTTTGTTACCATCACAGCGCCAACGTGCTGACTCATGAAAATACGTTAGTCTCAGAGCGTCTGGCAATAGAATGTGTGTGTGTTTGTCCCAACAATTTAGAGCCGCGTTGTTTGTCCCGCACGTGCGGAACTAACAACCAAGCTCTTGATTTTGACATGCATCCCGATTTGCCCCCTTCGGGTCCGTTTTATTTTCGTGTACCTTTTGTGGGTAAGTTAGCGTATGACCACGGGAATCGACCGCGCCAAGTGTTGAGACTAGTACGGAAAGATGAAGGTACTTGATAGAGAGATCGGAACGGTTTTTAATGTGAAGACAACAACAACAACGACAATCCCGACCCACTCGACTCCCCCTTTTTTCATGCCCTTGGCGCGCTTGCTGTTTTCTCCGTTCCAGGTTACCGGAGGTAGCGACAGTCCCGTGGTGGTGGTGAGAGACCTGGACAACAACCAGCTTGTCTATGCCCCCGGTCGCTCACAGTTCGGGTGATATGACTCCTGATTGCGAACACGTGACTGCATCCGCAAAGAGAGTGCGTTGTGTGCGCTGTGATTGGGGTACGCAGATGGGAATGTGCAGTCTGGGGGGAGCTAAACGGGAGGAAGGCACGGGCCGTGGCCGAAGGTTGAAGGAAGCGGTGAAGAAGAAAGGAAGCAGGTATTGTGGGGCGGGCCCGGTTGCCTGCTACCCGATCAGAATCGTCTGAATGGGTGGCACGTCATAATTTTTTCATGGAAAACCCGAGCACGTTGTTGAATGTTCTTTTGGTGTTCCGCCCGTGGTTGATTGGCGTTCTTGGGGCCTTCATAAATGTATGGAACAGGGCGCGTTTCTTGACGGATCCTTGTGTTTGGTATTTTGTCAGGTATGGTATCAGGTAGTAGCCCTTATCGTGGTTTTCATCCCAAGTACATGTCCTACAGGGAGAGGTGGGGCGGGGAGGGTGGGGTGAAGTGTTGAGGGAAAAAATGGCGGCGACGATGATCTCGTTCTCGTTGATTATTTTTCCCTGATGAATGTGTGACTGGATCGCATACGAGGTGTTGACGTCGTTGGCCTCGGCGTTGTGTTTTGCTGCGGAGAGTTTGGACGTGGACCGCTGGTAGTTGACCTGCAACATCAAGAGAGGGTACCGCACAACCTGGTGTTTACTACCTCAAACACGCAAGAAGGGCCGACCGCTGCAGCGCTGCAGTGCATGCGCAGCAGACGATAGATGTCACTTATTTGTCGAGGCCGTTCTCTGGGGCATACGGAGGGGCGGGAGAAGAGGTATTGCAGGGGCAAATAGCGGCCCTGCTTTGCTAGTAGGATGAAATTTCTCTGGACGGATACAGCAGTAGGTAAGCATCCGTCAAAGTCTTTCCTAGATTGGGTTTAGGTGCGTAGGCTAGCCCGTGGAGTGCACTCTCTGTCTATTTGTACGTGCTGTTGCGTGTTGTCTGTTGTGTTCCCAGCGCCTTTCTCGGCTCTTTGGTTGCAGCGGAGAACTAACTCCCTGATGTTACCACCTGTCCTGTTGGCACGCTGTCGTGATTGCATGCCAATACTAGCATTGTCGCGGCCATCAACCTTGAGATTGTTTCGATGTAAAGGCCTAGCGCAGCTTGGTTACATGCCGACGAAAAAGGCGATCGGGTGTTGTTTGGCCTGGCAGCAATGACTATGGTAGAGGCATGCTGTTCGTTGTTCGGCAGCACGTTCGCTTGTGTTGGCGTTTGGCGGCGCGTGCTCCTGTGGATGACGGGTGATTCATGCATGCATGAAGAACTCTGTTGGCAGGTTCCTCCCACGGTTTCGTCACGTTTCATTGGCGCATCGCATGCCGGCGTCAAGACATGGATGGCTCGGGTTGGCGTCGACTGTTGTCATATGTAGGCCATTAACGTGTTGCCGTTTAGGCGATCGCCATGGGCTCTTCGCTATCCACATGCAAACGTAGATTAATTACTCCATTGGTCCGAGGATAAGAGTTAGGGCGCCTCCGAACTAATTGAACTGTCAAGGTTTGTTTGTAATCGTGGGTTCTGATAGTATCCGAAACTAAGGCGTTTCCGTTCCGTTTACATGATATAATGTACAGGAGAGCGAGATCGTGAGATCCAATCGCAATCAGTTTTATGGAACGACAAAGATGGATGGTGTTTGTCGGATTCTTGGTGAGAAGGTTTGTGTTTTTGGTTGGGTTATATTGGTGGGATGGATTGTCTTCGACATGGGAATACACCTGTGTAAAGGTTTTATTAATAGTGACCGTCTGCGATTGGGTATAGGATCGATTCACGATAATGTTTTGTTGCGGGACCCGTGTCTGTTCTGTTGTTGTCGTCTACCATCTGGCGGCCATTTTCACTCTTTACGCCACCTGCTTTGTTCCCCTTAACCCTCCGGGTGTGAGCATTATTCGTTTTCGGCCATGCAACCAATGTATCAAAACGCACATTCACCCACGTGTGAATGAAGTGTTTGCAGGCAAGTGCGTAGCATTTTGCTCTTCTGGCTAGCAAATAAATTCGTCCTGGTTGTTGGTGTGTGTGCTACATTGCAAATGCAAATAAGCGAAGACGTTTGGTGCGATGCCTTGAAAGGCCATGTCTACCTCCTCTGCACGGAAGGATGCTGCTGCTGTACGGAGTATGTACCACCGTCTACGAATAGTTGTACTACCTCTACTGCTGTAGCGCCAGCCGAGATTGATTCCAAAAATATGCGCACATTTCTTGCAAGCGCTGCTGTTGTTGCACACTACTGCACCTTTTGTTAGCTTCATTGAACCTTTGAACAGCTGCAACTCAGTGGCTGTGGAATGGTTGCTGTGGAAGGAGGGTGCAGTTCTTTTGTGTCTCATCGCTCAGGGCGGGGCTCCGTAGCCCTCGCCTCCCCCCAACGGCCATCATGGTGGTCTCCACCCCTTTCATCACCACGAAAATGTGGGAAGGAAAGACATTTGCTCTCTTCTTCTCACATCAAAAGCCAGCAGAGGAAGAGGTTGTGTGCCTGACAAGAACCGAAAGCCCTCCACTCAGTCCTCACAATCGACATCATGATGGTCCCCGAAGGAGATGAAGAGGACGATTTCATCGTGCCGACCACGGCGGCGGCGGCGGCAGAGGCGGCGGGCTCCTCGTCCGACGCGCAGGGGGACGCGTCCACGCGTGGATGGGGGAGCTATCTAGGCGGACTCGTGTTCGCTCGTGCCAAGGAGCCTGCGCCTGCGTCGGAGCCTGAGCCAACTCTACCGTCAGGGTTTTCGGCCACTCTCAATGCGGAGGAGGAGAAAATATATCCAGCAGAGGTGAGGTCCTACGAAGACCGTGGGTGGGCGCTACTGGGATGGGAAGGGTCCGCGTGTTGGTTTTGCCCGATGCAGAGGATGCCGGATCTATTTCGGCTGCTTGTGTTTTGTAGTATAATAAAGAGCTGTTGATTCGGTCTCTCACCCAACAACTTTCTTTCACGCTTTTTCCCTTCCCCGTGGCACGAGAGTCCACCGGCGAATACTTGCTGCCTCTCTGTTGTGTCTGTCTAGCCCCGCGCTGTGCTTGTGTCCTACCACACAGCTGTCACGATAATTCGATCCTGTCCGCTTGGTGGCGAGAGAGGAACACAACACCTCCTTTTCAACGGTTGTGTGGATGCCCTGCCAATAACTGTTCGGAATAACATGACGTTTTAGTGAGAGATTGTCCAGGATTCATCTCGCAGCTTCCTCGCAACAGAGGCAGGAACCCTGATGGACACAGAGCTTTCCTGCAGCAGTAAAGAGAGATAATGCTTCGACGGTACCCTGTGGGCTTCTGCCGCGGTGTCTCGCCATCAAGCTTGCGACCCCCGCTGTGGAATCTCTTGCTGTACAGCACCAGAAGCGTGTCCTGCAATCCAAAGTTACACATGACTGCTTCGTTCGACACTTGACGTCAGAACAGCAGACCAAAGAAAAAGAAGAACAGACGGTTCGGCGCTGCCGCAGTCGATCAGCTGCAGTCAATCTAGCCCTGAGCGAACAAGCTGTGTAATCTGCTGCCATAGCTTTTAGCACATCCGCACACCAAAATGACCAGCAGCTGCGGGAGTTGAATAGCCACCTTTTACGTACATGGAGCCGACGTCCCTACAAGTATCGCTTTCGTGAAAGCAATGTTCAGAGTTCTCGAGGCCATAATTAAACTTGCGCGCCAATCACTTCGCGTCACGAACCGGACACCAGTTTTGTGTAAGTCGTGCCCCTCACTGCTGTCCACACCACATTTTCGTACTTCGAGCTTCGAACCACACGGTTTTCTCCTCGTAGTAAATTAAAACGCCATCTAGCTGCCAGGTGTATCCGTTGGTTGTCTATTGCACTGGCGGTTCAGACAGTCGGGATCTGTGGCATCATTTGCACCATTATTTATTATTTGTTGTGTTGACACATCGACACATGCTGTTTTTGTGGCATTTGGTCTGACATCCGGAACCTTCCAATGCTATGCATAGAAAGCTATGTACTTTGTCCCCTTGGCGTGCTAGTGACCAAGATCAGAGCTCATCGAGGTTGGAAACATGGTGCTGTACGCTCTTTTGAAATAATGTTAAAAACTAAGCACTATTTAGCGTTGAGCAGAGACTGCCTTGTTCTCCCGCGTCTGTAATGCGCCATGTATTCGTTGCCAGTCGACAGTCCGTTGTCCGCTCCCCAACCCGCCTAGTACAGCCGTGCATACTGTACAGACGGGGAGTTCCAAACCGCTGTATCATAGACACACGTTTTTCATCCTCACTTCTTCTGGGCGACCAATTGCTGACACAGCTAACAGGAGGCAAGGGGAGAGCACCGTTTTCAGCAGTCTAGCTTACTCGTCGGTTCGCGCCCCGGCGGTGGTTCACCCGGCGCTTTGCAGTAAGCGGTCGCGTGTGGTGGCTGACGCATGTTCTCGTGCGGTCTCACGGCTCTGAACGTTCGCCACGACTCTCTCTCTTATTTGAACTATTTGTGGAACTATTTGTGGTCATGGCTGCCACGGTTTTCATGGGTTGTGACCCCACTGCCGCTTCGGCGTTATTGAGGACGGAGAGGATTTCTCAACCGTTCAGGAGGCTGTTTGTCCTGGTGGACAGGAAAAGACCTTCGCGTGCTTGACGTGGCGCGCGTCCCGGGCCACGGGTCTTTCGCCTCGGTTATGAGAACCTGGCCCATTTGGGCGCGATTTTGCAGGCGACCATCACGACAGCGAGAGCCCAAACCGGCTGTGCTGGACGTACTCATGACCGCGTTAAACAGAGAAGAGGCCATGCTACCACGCAACCCTACAGTATAGATTACCGTCTGTTTTCTCGGGCCGGTCGTGGTGGCTCAGCGCTCATCCCCGCACAACCTGCCCATCCCCCATCTACTGCCTAACGACGACGAAACCGACCACGGACGATCCGCCGGCCCCCCGCCAGCACCGACCACGAAAGCCTTGCGGACAGCCAGTCCACATGCGCCCCCGACGCAGGCAGTAGTACTCCATGCCGAACGTCGCACGGGTCGCCCACGCATAGCCTCGGCGGACGCTGCGCAAGGGTGGCGGCGGCACGAAAATTTTTCCGTCGAACATCCCCCGCACTGCTTCTTCTCAGCCACAACCTCTCGATCCGTTTCCACCAGGACTGGCAACGAAGGGGATGCGATGCGACCCAACGGCGCAATCGCATCCCGATGTCAGCCCCCGTGGAAACGAATGGAGAGGTCGTGACTCAGGACAGGCAGCGGCGCGGGGTATGTATGACTGAGGCTTGATATGCCGTGGCCCCTTTTCCGGAGCGTCGACAAAAGTGGCCGGGAGGGGTTTAGCGCGGGCGAGCCCAGCGGCGACGTTGTGGAGGACCCTCCTCCGTTGGCATGAACTACTATTTTCTGCTGTGTCGAAGGCGCGGGTGGACTGGCTATCGGCGAGGCATTCTTGCTGGGTGCTTGCGGGGGGCCCGCGGATTGTCCGTGATCGTCGTGAAGCGTGTCTCTGATACCTGTGCTCTTGTGTGCGAATGTCCCTACTATCCGTATTGTCCAACTCACGGCGCCTGCCGTGGTCACCAGCACCCCACCATGCTAGACACGACCGTTCCGAACCATGTCCTTCACGCGCGTTGTATCTAATTTGTACCCCCGCCCTTGCCAGGCAAAGATCAGGGTGCTCGTTGCAGAGGGAAGCCTTCTGGGGCGCAATCGACGTCAAGCGGCTGAGTTACACCAGGTACGAAAAACTATCGTATCGTATGCGTATCCCATCCCTTTGTGATCCTTGACACCGACGTCAGTGTGACTAGTTTTGGGTGTTTGTTTTTGGCCGGCGGCTGTCAGTCACGATCTCGCCCCCCGGCTTGCCGACACTAGTCAACAACAACTAGTGCTGCCGTAGTTTTGGGGTGAAGGGTTGGCAACGGAGTAGCACTTGGTATCCTTCACTGCACAGGAGGACCAAGTTGGTGGGCTCTGAGGCCTGCGGTCCACGGTTACCCGTGTGTTCGGCGGGTGGCGTTGTTTGGGTGCGGAATACGGTCGTTCTGCCGGCGACCGACGCTCGCTGCTGAAGCTCGCGTTCGCGCATTGCCTCGGTATGCGTAGCATGAATTATTATTTGACGTTTCATGTCTTGGCTGTTTCGCTCAACCAACGACAACACGCCCCCCCCCTCGGAGGAGCGGTCGCCGGTTGGCGCCGTGAGCCGATGAGAACCGAAGGCAAACACGGAATAAAATAGTGGCATGTATATTTTGCACGTGCGCTCGTCAGGTCGTCTCCCTCTCTCATTTCCCTTTTTCCTTGCCTGGCGCGGTGCGGCTTGATGCTCCTCCTACCTTTTGATCGGCCAGGCCTTGCAGCAGGTGGTTGGGGCTGCGGCTATCTATAACCACCTTCTGGTCAAGCACGGCGGCTTGGGAACGAAACCAAAGGAATGCAAGACTAGCAACGATACCGGCGCCGCGGCCGCCGTTGCCGGCACCGAAAAGAACGACAATCGGATGGTCTGTGGTTGCGGTGGAGGGAGCGGCAGCTGCAAGGTTGGCTGTGTTACTGTTGTTGTCGGTGTTGGATTTCTCGGGCTGTGTCATGGCGCAACAAGGAAGAAAAGCGTCCCTGCGTTTGCGTGTTTGTCATGATGCCGATATCGCACAATCTAGATAACATTTGTTGCCGTTTTTTTGAACAAGAATATGGCCTCTTTTTGGTTTTCCGGTACGATACCTTCCCGGGCGACAGCGCGTACACACACCGCCGTAGGCAAGAATGCGTTCTGTATCAGCAACAACACACCACCGCGTATTTCTTGATTTGCAACGTCGGTTGGCAGAGGCAACGCGATGTGAGCCGAGAAGCTCTCTTCCTACGTTGTCGTCGTCATATTTATGCCGTTGTCTGCGGGGCAGGCGATATCGTCGTTGCTCAAGAGCGAGATGGACAAGGTCGTCGCTGCCGCGGAGAAGGAGCGTAAGGGCGAGATGCTCAAGAAGTTCAAGCAGGTGGAGCGGCGCAGCGGCGGCCTGTGCAACCCGGACCTCCTCGAGAACATCGTTCGATCCACCGGGGGGGAAGGTTCGGGAGAATCGAGTCCCTCCGCTTCGAAAACGTCGAATCCCCCGCCGCCGTCGCCGTTGCCCCCTCGCAGTCCGGATCACAAAGGACAAGACGCGGCGATCCGAGCGTTGAATAGCCTCGTCGTTGTTGATGTCGAGAAAGACGAGCGCGGCGGCATCGCGGGTGTCGGCGGTAGCGGTGGCGCAGTAAGCAGCGGCGCTCAGGACGTCCCCTGGGCGGAGGACATGCTGTGCCGCTCGGTCCGGAAGCGACACGCTGCGGTGCTGAAGACCAGGGGCAGGGCTCTGGCGAAGGGCCTGGCGAGGATGCTCAAGGGGGTTTCCAACGACCTTAAAGGCGTTGCCTCGAGGCTTCCGCCCTGGGAAGAATGCGAAGACGACGACGAAGACAAGCCGACTCCCCAGGAGGAAGGGGTGAGTTAAGGGGGTGGGTGGGTGAATATCCGTCTATTCGCATCGGATACGTACCTGGATGCAGTCGATCGGGACCCTTTGCTCCCGCGTGTTGTTCGGAGTGGCTGTATGTCGGCATTGCTTGGGTTTAGACGGGGAAACCGCCTCCAGTAAACGTCCGGGGTTCGGCGCCCCTTTTCTCGAGGTGCCAGATGCGTGGCACCGCCGATAACCCCTCCCCCCGTCGCCGTTGTGTTTCCTCCCTTGTTTCGTGACTTCCATCGTGAATGCCATCGCAACACCGGTGCACACGACCATTTCGATTGTAGGCCGAGCTCGACAGGATCAGGTCGCGGGGAAACATATTCTCGGCGCCCACCCACGAGAGGATCCACTCGCGGGGCGAGGTTTGTGTGCCCCTTACCCACGACAGGAGCCTCTCGCAAGGCAGCTACGTGTCGGCGGCGACGTCCGAAGACGGGAACGAACGGCTGTCGCTGTCGTCTGACACCGCGCCCACCGCCGCAAGTATTAGCTCGAACGGTAGCGCGGCGATTAGATCCCCGGTGGCGGCAATGGCGGCGGCGGTGGCGGCGGTAGTAAGCCCTGGCTCTGATGCGGTTCCGGCGGCGGTGCCCGGCGGCGGCGCAACTAGCAGCAGCGGTGGGGCGGGCGGGGGCGCCGCGAATTGCGTCAGGAGCCGCCGCCAGGACTGGAAGCTGAGCGCCCAGGAGCTGTCCCTCATCAAGAAGGAGGAGGAAAGGGTCATGAAGCCGGACGTGTTGACAACGCTACTTGCCAAGGGGGCGAGCCTTGGATGTGAGTCACCGTGAGGGGCGGGGAACGCTTGTTGGTCGTAGGGCTTTTTCTTCGCCGGACTGCCTTGTTGATGGTGATCCAAATGCCTCGGGCATCCCTAGATTGGGGGGGGGGGGTGTAGGCTCCGAAGAGGCGGTAGGGGTGCGTTGCTGACGGGTTTTTGCTTCGATGGAAAGGTGTGAGGACATGCTGCGCGTTGTCGCGAATAAAGATTCTTAGAATTTTTTGCGGCTCTCGGCGCGTTTCCGCTCGCCTCGTTGTCGCCGTGCTGATAACAGGTCTCCAGCAAGCCGACTTCTGGGACGTATTTGCAAGGCTTGAGGTTGCCACACGAACCGAGGCGCTGCTCAACATCGCCATCAGAGGGGGAAGGGGCTGCGCGGCAAGGTGAGGTTTTTGGCCCGGATCATGCGTGCCACGTTACACAATACGCTGGTGTGTAGATGCAGCAATTGATACGTGTTTGCGAGTCGGGAGTTGGCATTGGCCCTCAGTCGACGACTAAGAAATAGATAAGCATACCTCCAGTGCGCATCCATAGACTCTTGTGCTTCTACTCTCATGCGCGTTGCTCTATTCTATGCCGAACCGGCAGCGGCAGCATTTTTTGCGCCGATATTTGTTTCGCCGGCGGCGACGCGTCTTCCAGCGTAGTTGTACTTCCCCCATGTCCGCGTTTATCACCCCGTTCGTCTCCCCCCCGCACACCGCTGCTGCAGGTCCGGGCGGATGGGGCGCGAGCTGTGCATCAACCTGACGTCCGTGGTTCTCGAGGCTCTAAACGCCGTCGAGCAAGCTCAACGCAAGGCGCAACTCCACTCCACGCCTACCACGCCCAACCCACAGCAGCAGCAGCAGCAGCAGCAGCAGCAGCGGAGACCCAGCAGCGGCAATTTTAGCGGGGGTGACGTCTCGGAAAGCAAGGCGGCGGAGGCAAGGCCACGTCCGTCTTCCGCACGTCTCTCTAGGGGGTCGGACTTTGGTCTAGAGGCCGGGATGGACAACGGGGGCGCGGCGCGCGCGAGGTCGGGGTCGGTCGGGATGCTGGCGGTAAGGCGCGTGGTGAAGGGAGAGAGCGTGGCAGGGAAGTCGAGGGTGTTCTACAAGGAAGACCCCGGTTTGAAGGACTTGGACCGGCGTGAGGAGGAGTTCCGAAAGGTATTGTATGTAACGAGGCGTTTTTTCGTCTTCCGGTTCTGTTGACGTGCCGTAATCGTTCGCTCGGCGGGAGGGAGAATGTTGACGTGGTGCCATCGAAACGTACACAAGAGCAGCGGGATGGTGCCCCTAAACGCCTGTCAAATCTTGTAAGAATCAGTTGTTGTGCTGCTTTAAGTGAGGATGCATGCACACAGGCAGTGCCCAAGGTGTGGGGCGGCTCTTTCTCGTCCTACGGTAGGCCGATCTCCCCACTACTACACCTTTTCGCTGTCGTGTTGAAGATGGTTCGTTTACGGTTATCCTCTTTCCCCGCATCCCCTCCGTCCCGATGCTCGTGCACGGCTGAACGTTCAGGCGATCTACGTTAACCGCAGAGCCCTGGCAACCAGGCTCATGCGCTTGACCCGCGACGCGCCGCTCTGCTCTCGAGTCCTGGGGACGTTTGTTGACGACACCCAAAGGGCCCGCACGCCCACCAAGGCTAGCAAACCCCAAAGCAGTCCCCGGAGCACCGGGGTGAGGACACCCCAGGGGGGGGCGGCTCCGCAGAATGAATCATCGCGGTTTGCGACCTCGCCAGGAAAGACTGCGGAAGAGGTGGACACGGCCGTGTGGTAAGCTCACGACGACGACGAAAGGAACCCTCTCGCTTTTGTTTGTTTCGCGTCCATAGCAGCCGTTTTTGAGGACGTGCGTACGCAGTTGGCTCGCCTATTGTGGTTGTCACAATTATTGGCACCCTTTACGTTGCCGTAAGACACGCTTGAGCTCCTCAGTAGGGAAGCGGCGGCACGGCCGTCGTGTATGAAATTTCACCTTTTTGTTGCGACCGTGTTGGGCTCTTGTTTTGCCTTTCGACAACAGGAAATCTTCGTCAGTCGGAGAGAGCGGGGCAGGGAGAGGCGGTGGCGCCCCGGGCGCTGCGGCGGCTGCCGTCGATCTTCTCACTGGCGACGACGTCACCGTCGGCGGAGAGGGGTCAAGCTGCGCCGCCGACCGGGGCTCTACCGAGTCGCACCCTTCCTCTTCGGGTTCGGTGACCAGCACCAACACGGAGCCGCTCTCGGAGGGGACGGAAGACAGCGACAACGCGCCGGCCTCGACGTCACCTGCACGGCAACAGCGAAAGCAGCAGCAGGAGGGGCCGCACGAGAAGAAGGTGGCGGTGGACCAAGCTACCGTGGAGGAAATTCTACAGGTGTGCAGGCAGACCCGAGGGTTTTTGTCCACATCGGGGGATGGGTGTTTTGGCAGCTTGCGGTTGTGGGGTGGTGGGAATTTTGGGATGGCCTGAGTATGGTATATTTGGGACATACTTTCGATTTGGTTGTCATGTGTCTCATGCAGGCAAAGGGTCAACGGTTTTGTTGTGGTGTCAGTGGTTTGGGAACGTGACGGAGTGATTTGTGTCGAGCAGTGATGCCCGAGATGTCGGTTGTTTGGTTCCACCGTCCGCGTAACCTTCGTTTCCGAAATCAACGTTGTTGTCCCGCGAACGAAGCCCATCTGTCGACGGGTCCTCCCTACGCGATGCGGTGTCTGTCGCTGCCTCGTCTCGATTCACTCGCGCTTGTCCATGTTTAACGGAAACCTCAGACGGTGTGGACGACAATATCTTCGCTGTTTCCCGGGAGAATTCGATAGGAGGCGTCTGAACCAACATCCCTGCCCCCCCATCGTACCTCTCCTCCATCTACCGCACGTCTGATGCTGCACCTTAGGTCTCCGAGGAATCGGTCGAGGTCGAAACACTGCTCGTGTGAGCGAGCAGCAGCTCCTTCGAACGAGGCTTGGCACGACGGCCGTGAACTCCCGGCCAAGGGCTTAACCGAGCCCGCATCAAGTCTGTCTCCCATGAGTCAACCAGGCGCCCGTGGTTTGCCCACAGAGGCGTTGTGTTGCCGGGGAAGGATAGGGCGAACGAGAAGAAAGCGATCGGGAACCGGGTACCGACTTCAAACCGTTTTAGAATGAAGGCTGTTTTGGTCGCGATGGTTTTATGACTTTCGACTGTTGTACATCTATATTGTTCCGTTTCCGTTGAAGCTGCTGATAGTCGTTCAAAACGTTGGTTATGTTTAGCGCAATGCGACAGAATGGCGGGGATAATTCTTCTTGCTACGTGCTCGCTTTGGGAGAAGCCCCAAACTTTTGGGCCGAAAAACATTGGTTTGTATTCTACCTCTAGATTCATTCAAGTGACAACGCTTGCAGAGCTTATACAAGTAGTAGTCGTCAGGATACCCTATAGGCGATTCTTGTTGTGACCAAAATCGTGCCACGGGAGAGGGCTCTGTCTCCGAGCCTCCGCGGCATTCGTATTCTGCCTCTGCACGAGGGGGATCTTTGAACCAACTGCAAACCCGTCCGGTTTCTGAGCACCCACCAACCGCACTTTCTCTTTCATTTTGATTCAAGCGGTCGCTGCATTATTTTCTTGAATTTGTGCGTAACACATCCGATATCTTGGCCCTGTATTGTGTGTTTGAGACCATGAACAGCGGTTCCCCTTTAGATTCTGTTGTTTCGCGCTCCCGCGTCGATGCACAAGCTTTGGGGACCTTTGGTGTTCGAGAAATTGAATGGTGAAGCCGGATGTTTTGGTTAAGGTCTGGGTACGGAGGAGGGGGGGGGGGGGGGGGGGGGGGG